CACGTCACCCACTTCACCAATTCCCTCCAAAACAAACCCCCAAACAAAGCTTCTTTTCCTTTTTAGACTTCCGTGCCTTTGGAATTCTGTCTCTGGATTTGGAAGATGACATCATTTTATGTATACGGCAATAGTAAACAGCGGAAAGAGCGATTCTATCTCTGTAGATTTAGAAAATGCCATGATTTTACACGTGCGGTAATAGTCACTGTGGAAAAAGCGATTCTCATTCTAAATGCAATCATCTCAAAACTATCAAAAGACCGGGGCCACTCTTGCCTGCTTTAACTTTTTCAAAATGTCTGGAGTAATCAGCCCTTTCTTGTTCGGTCTGCTTCGCCACTGGCAGTCAGGGCTGGCCTGGAATCTCGGCAAGAGGCCATTGGTCCCCACAGCTCGGCCAGTCCCTTCTGTCCTTTGCTAGAAAGCAAAACGAAGCAGCCTGCTCCCAGCGAGACAGTGTATGGAGGGAGCGCCACCCAGATGTGCTGGAACTTTATTATTATTATTATTGTCGGTTGTGAGGCTTGAACTCTGGGCCTGGGCGCTGTCCCTCAGCTCTGCAGCTCAAAGATAGCACTTTACCGCTTGAGCCACAGCGCCACTTCCGGTTTTCTGGTGGAAATTGGAGATAATGAGTCTCACGGACTTTCCTGCCCCAGCTGGCTTTGAACCGTGATCTCCAGACCTCAGCCTCCTGAGTACTAGGATTACAGGCAAGAGCCACCAGCACCTGGCTGGAACTTTATTTTTGTACTCTGAGACAGGGTCTCAACATAGAGCGATGGAATTACAGGTGTGCTCCACCACACCAGTCTCTTCACCTTTTGTGTCACAATATATACGTGCCATATCCCCATTCGAGCTTACAGGAGAGATGGGTCATGACAAGTCAGTTGGCCTATTTCCTAACCAATACCTTGGAGCTGAGCTTTCAGGTATACAAGATACGTTCCTATACTTTTCCTCTAACTCTCACTGCAACGCTGTGAGGTAAGCATGGGGGACAGCACCATCCCCAGGTTACTAATGTGCAGAGACTCAGAGAAGTTAAGGAACTAGAATGAAATCACACAGCTAGTTAATGAAACACCCAGCAATCAACCCAGGTCTCTGCTACTTCATTCTTCCCCCTTTTCTCAACACACGTGCTAGCTTTTCTACCTCCTCCTCTCCCCTCCCAAACGACACTCTCCTACCTGTCAGGACAGAGACGGGAACTGAAACAGAACCCCTCAAGTTGAGGGTCACAGTCTATGGTGGGGTGGGGGTATTTATAGTCTTCTTGTTGAATAATGCTTCCAGTGTCATTCCCTAAGACTTCCAGGTCACAGTGTTAAGATTTTACTCCTAAATTGGGCTCCATTTCCAATTCTTATGTCATATCTTGCCAGCAGCTTGTACCTTCCAAACCCTTAACCTTTGTGTGTGTGTGTGTCTGTACCACTACTCAGGCTTGACCTCAGGGCCTCAGTACCGTCCCTGAGCTTTTGTGCTCAAGGCTAGCCCTCTACCACTTGGGCTACAGCACCACTTCTGGTTTTCTGGTGGTTCATTGGAGGTAAGAGTCTCACAGACTTTCCTGCCTGGGCTGGCTTTGAATTGCAGTCCTCAGATCTCAGCCTCCTAAATAGCTAGATTACAAACATGAACCACCAGCACCCACCTTCTCCCTAATTCTTGAAGAAAACTTTGTGTTTCCGTCTGTCTTCCAATGCCCCCCGGAATCTCCATGTCACCAGTCAGGCCCTTTACCCTGCTTCTCCTTGAGTCTCTGGTGAGCTTCTGTTGCAGTTGGCTGGTACCTGAGCCCACAGGCAGGACACAAAACCCCTTCAAGCTGTGTCCCCCAGATTCCCCTTCCACAAACAGAGATCTGGGTTCTGACACAAAGAGCCCAGCTCTGGGAAGCCCGCGGTGGACTTCCCACAGCTCCCTGTGCCTACAGTGCCCCCTGCTGGACACCCTCCACCAGCCATGATTTGTGAACACCTTGACGGGGAGCCTGAGGCTGTTAGCGATTTTGAGGCTGGAAATTTCTGGAATCAGAACCAAGCTCTGGCCCCTTGCTAGATATAAATTCTCATTCCACAGATGTTTACCAAGCATCTCTGATGAATGGCCATGTGCTGGCTCTGCAGAGCAAGCTGCCACAGACACCCCCTCCCCCAGAGCACCCCTGCCTTGTGGACCAGAGGGGCATATTCTCTTTAACAAGCACGTATGTTAAGTCATGGAAAAGCGAAATATCACACAATAACTAAATAGGAAAAAAAAAGTCTCCCAAATCATCATCTATTTACAAATTCAGAACCTTATGCCTGCGTGACCATTACCCAGCCTCATCGCTATTACGACTATGTCATCAGCATTCCAAATTCTCTCTTTTCTTGGCCTATGATTGAATCATAAGCGATTTCTTCCAAATAGTCTGCATAGCTGTCATATAACCCTACAGACCACAATCCACCAAGCTGGCACTCTGCCAATCCAAAGCTTACAGTTCATCACTCTGTTGCCTTGGGCAGCCACAAATGTCTCTTTGCAGATGGTTTTTCTTCTATTGGATTATTTTCCCGGAATATATTGCCTAAAGAGAAATAACATTCACACAATCACTGTTTTTTGGGGGGGGAGGGGAGGAATGTTTCTCAAGTATTGCCAAATTTCTCTTCAGAAAGCACTATTTTATACTGTCAGGAGTCCGGCAGTTCCTCCAGACCGTATTTTTGTTGTTGTTATTTTTGAGCTAGGTGCCAGTGGCTCACGCCTGTAACCCTAGCTACTCAGGAGGCTGAGATCTGAGGATCAAAGTTCAAAGCCAGCCTAGGTATAAAAGTCCCCATGAGACTCTTATTTCCAATTAACCACTCAGAAAACCAGAAGTGGCACTGTGGCTCAAAGTGGTAGAGCGCTAGCCTTGAGCAGAAGAGCTCAAGAGACAGCATCCAGGTCCCAAGTGCAAACCCCACAACCAACAGTTATTATTTATTGGCAGTACTGGGGTTTGGACTTAGGGCCTTTCACTTACTAGGCGAAACTGTACTATGCCTCCAGCCCTGCTTTTTGCTCTTACTTTGGGGATGGAGTCTAGAAAAATCTGCTCTGGCTGTCCTCAAAGCTGAGTCCTTTGGATCTCAGCCTGCTGCTTAGCTAGGTATGAGTCACTGCAGACCAGCTTTTCTTTCTTTTTCCTTTACTAGTTTTTGCCTTTCAGTTTCTTCCTGGGTACATGGCTTATTTGGTTCTTTCTCCAGGAAGTCTTAGTCATTCCTATATGGGAGACATAGCTTTTCCTCATCAAATCAATTCTATATAGTTTAATAATCGCCTTATTAGTTTTCATTTTCATTCTACATAGCCTAATCATCTTGCTAGGTTTCACTTTCGTGCTATACAGTCAAATCATCTTGCTAGTGTTCATTTTCATTATTCTTTGTTGTCCTCCACCCCCAGGGCCTCCATGGATGCATGCTAGGTAATTGCTCTACCACTGAGCCTTACCCCTAGCTCTATATATGTTTTTATTTGTGCCCTACTGAGGCTTAAACCCAGGGCCTAGACACTGTCCCTGAGCATTTTTGCTCAAGGTTAGTGCTCTACCACTTGAGCCTCAACTTCTGCCTTTTTGCTGGTTAATTGGAGACAAAAGTCACATGGCCTTTCCTGCCTGCCTGGCTTCAAACCATGATCCTCAGTTCTCAGCCTCTTGAGTAGCTAGGAGTACAGGTGTGAGCCGCCAGTGCATGGCTTATATTTTAAATACACTTAATCAACGATTTCTCCTATTATTTCAACAAACAAGAAATATGCTCGTCAGAAAAGGATTTTCTTCTCTGTACCCCTAACGTCTAACTTTTCCTGCTCTACCTGTCCCAGATTTCTCTGGCTCTCATCAGCCAACCTAACAATTCCCGCTGTGTCCTCTCCCCCACAGCCTACCCAGGCCGGGCACCCCTGCCCAGCCCCCACCATGGAAAGGACAATGGCTGCCCTTCACCACCTGCTGAATCCTTCTCTCACATTCTCTGCCTCCCTCCTGCCCAGCCCTCTTCTCAGATTCACCCGCTGGCTTGGCACCCCAATCTCGCTGACCGCTGGGGTTCCATGGCTCCTCCAGCCATGGTGTCCAAAAAGAAGGACGTGCATCCTCATTTTAGTTCAACCGGGTAAAGCTGAATGTGTCTTAAAAGGACTTAGCTAAACAATTAGGAGAACAAAAACAAGAAACAAACAGGAAACACTGGAATGGTCACATGGTCATTGTCCATCATCCATGCGCCTGGCCTTGGATTGGCAATGGTGTGGGGGTACGCTGGGGGGGCTCCCCTCCTTTGCCACCAGGAATGGCCTGATTTTTTTTGGGGGGGGGTATTCCCTTTACAGCCTCTAGGCTGGCATCTATAGCTTTTACCCAGTCTGAACACTCAGGGTCTTGAGAAAGCACCCAAGAGAACAGATTATTGTCATTTATCGTCACATGGAGCTCTTGGCCTCTGGTCCTGCGTGGCCTGTGTGTGGCGTGCCCTAGGGGGTCTTTCTTGGTCCTGCAGAAGTGTGCCCACCTTGCCAGGGCCCTCTCTCTCAGTCTCTCTAAAACTCCATCAAGTTGGTGCCAATCCTGGGCTTTGAACTCAGGGCTTAGGTGCTGCCCCTGAGGCCCCCCTACAAGGCTGGCACTCCATTTGAATGTCTAATTGAAGTCTTTGGACTTTTCTGCCGGAGCTGGCTTCGAACCTTGCTCCTCCTGAGTCGGTAGGATACAGGCGTGAGCCACTGGTGCTCGGCAGTTTTTTGTTTTAAAATAGGGTTTGGGGCTGGGAAGGTGGCTCAGTGGTAGAGTGCTTGCCTTGCAAGCATGAGGCCCTGGGTTCGATTCCTCAGCACCACATAAACAGAAAAAGCCAGAAGTGGCGCTGTGGCTCCAGTGGTAGAGCGCTCGCCTTGAGCTGAAGAGCTGAGGGACAGCGCCCAGGCCCAGAGTTCAGGCCCCATGACTGGCAAAAAAAAAAAAAAATAGGGTTTTTGTCCCCCAGGTTAGCCTTGAACTCTCTGTATACCACAGCTAGTTTGGAATGGCTTTGAAATACACAAATCCGGACAGGTTGTTCCTAGAAACGCAGACACCTAAATACACAGTGGCAGTCACAGCTTGTAGGTGTCACTCACAAACAAAACAAAACAACAAATAGACCCAGGGGCGTTGTAGCCCCTCCCTGCCCGGGAGCCCCCCAACCCTTGGTCCCCCACTTCTGCATGTTAGAAAAGCTGGCCATGTAGCTACGGGCCCTGTCCTGAGAGAATGTCCCAGGCTAGCCCAGTCCTGCCCTACCAGCCTCCCCCGCCCTCCCCCACCCCCTTAACTATCAGCTGACCGGATACGAAAAACCCGGATGGTTCCATTACTGAGTGACACCACCAGGTACCTGCCATCTACCACACTGATGACCCTGGGCTTTTCTAGGCCGTGGTAGGCCGACATGAACTCGCTAAGATAGGACCCCTTTGGGTCCAGGATCACCACTTGGTTCACTCCGCGAAGGGTCAGGAAGATGAAGCCGTCCTTGTCCACGGCCACGGAGCCCGGCTGGCAGCCCTGCAGGCCAGGCCCCTGGCACTCCCCAGCCACGCGGCCCAGCGCGTCGCACACAGCCACGCTCTTCTGCTGCCAGTCGGACACCACAAAATGGCCCTGTGGGCTGGTGGCTAGGAATACCAGGGCCCGCTGGCCACGCTGGGCCTTGCCGCCAGGGATAAACCGCGTGGCTAGGCTGCCTTCTTCATTGTAGACCTCCACGTGGCTGCCCACGGTGACAGCCACCCGGTCCCTGCTGGGCAGCGCGGCCACTGCGTGGCTGGACTGTGTGTGGCTCACAGCCCGGCGCCACCGCACTTTGCCATCGTGGCTGATGAGGTACAGCCGGGCGTTGGTGGAGAAGGCCACGGCGTCCCGCAGGGCGGCCACGCTGCAGGGGAACTGGCCCTCGGGCACGGGCACCTGGCCTCGGTAGTCGCCCTTGAGGGAGAAGCGCTTTAGACGTCCGTTCTGCTCATCGGCCACCAGGATCTCCTGAGGACCAAAGGCACAGAGCCCCGTGATGCGGGGGGCGCACGGGTCCCCCGGCATTCGCGTGGGGAAGCTGCAGACGAAGACAGGCCGGGGGAGAAGGCCAGAACCTTCCAGCTGGGGGCCCAGGGCGGGGCTGGGCTCCCGGGAGGCTAACTTGTGTCGGCCTCGGCTTCTTTTCTTCTTGGTGGGCTGGCCACTGCCTCTTTCTATTCGGGCTCGTCCACCTTCTTGGGGTGTCTGGGCTCTGTCCCCTCTGGGAGTGTGGGCTCGCTCATCTTCTTGGGGTGTCTGGGCTCTGTCTTCTGGGGGTGTCTGGCCTCCATCTTGTCTCTCCTGGCTGGCTCCATCGTCTTCTCCCTGGCTCTGAGTTCCGTCCTCTCCCTGAGCACCGGCTTGCTCTTCGTCGCCATCCTGGCCCTCTTGCTTCTCGAAAGAAAGGCTGAGCAGGTGACAGTTCTTATCCCGGACCCCCGGGTGCAGTGTCAGCCGGGGCAGCGGGCAGGAAGCTGGCGCCGGGGACCAGGGGCCGTCTTGGAGTTGTTGGAGCCTCTGGGCAATCGCCCCTTCCAGAGATAGGATCTCCGCCTCTCGCCCCAGGCTGAGCACCCGCCGGGCAAATGTGGCCGCCGCCCTGGCCACCTGTTCTTGGCCTTCCAGTTTGGCCAGCCTCTCTCGAGCAGCCTCCTCCACAGCCTCCACGTGAGCCCGGAGTTGCCCCAGCACCTCGTGCTTCTGGGCCAGCAGAGCCCGGAGGATGGCCTCGGCGGCTTCGTCCACCTGGCTGCCCACCCTGGCCGCCTGCTCCTTCACCCGGGCCAGGGCGGCCTTCTCTGCCTCCCTGGTGGCCTCCAGGCCGGCGAGGTTGGCATCCACGCCCGCCAGCAGCTGCTCGAGGCCGGGCCTGCGGGCGCGCACGGCCTCGGCCAGGGGCAGGCACGGGTGGTCCAGGTGCGGGTCCAGGCGGCACTCGCGACACAGCAGCTGGCCGCAGGGCTGGCACAGGAAGCGCAGCGCCTCGCCCGGGTGCTGGGGACACTGGGCGGCCTGGCGCTCCCGGGCCTCCTCGTCGTACCAGCCAGCCCGGTAGCCCACCAGGTCCACCACGCGGTGCGCGTGCGTCTGGCGGGTGCGGCGGTGGCCGTCGGCGCAGGCCTGGCACAGGTCATCGGCGCAGTCCAGGCAGCGGGCGGTGGCTGGGCCCCCCGCGCTCGCGCCCCCTACCAGCGGGCAGAGGGCACAGGACGGCCGGTCGGCCCCGCAGGTCCCCGCACGTCCGCGCCTTCACCAGGTCCAGGAGCCCATTGACAAAGAAGTTGGTCTTAAAGGCGGCCACGCCAGCGCCCGGCACGGGGACGGTCTCCCGGCACTCCGGGCAGCGCACAAGGCCGCCCTCGGCCAGCTGGGCCAGGCAGTCCTGGCAGTAGGTGTGCAGGCAGGGCAGCGTCTTGGGCATGCGCAGCTGCTCCAGGCAGATCTTACAGGCCAGGAAGTCGCTGCTCAGGGCCTCCAGCAAGGAGGGCGAGGAGCCCTGGGAAACCATTGCTGTCCAGGAGAAAGGTCAGAGGTCAGAGGTCCTTCCCTCCCTCCCTCCGCAGCAGCCCTTTCCTTCTTCACATCCCCCAGCTACACAGTCTGTGTGGGGGAGGGGGGAGGAGGGTCTCACCTGGCTGGGGAGGAATTTCCTTCCTGGTGTCTGCAGCTGGGGAGGGGGGGCACCCTCTTCCTCCTCTTTCTTTGGAAATATCGCACAGAAGGTGATCGAGATTGTGTGTGTTGGAACAAGAAGCTCCTGAGGCCGGGCTCTGGTGCTCACATCTATAATCCCAGTTCTTCTGGAGGCTGAGAGATGAGGATCCTAGTTTGAGGCCAGCCTGGGCAGAAACTCCTGTGAGACTCTTCCCGCCAATTAGCCACACACACACACACACACACACACACACACACACTGCTGGAAACGGATGTGTGGCTCAAGTAGTAGAGCACCAGCCTTGAGCACAAAAACTCAGGGATAGCACCCGAGTCCTGAGTTCAAGCACACATGTGCGCACACCCATACGCACACCAGCCCCTCAGTCTTAGAGGAGGGGGCAGTCCAACCTTCAGGACACCAGTATGGACCCGTAGTCCTATGTGACTGGTTTCTAGGGGGTCTGGCTGGGTGGGACCTGTGGCGGGGGGAAGCACACGGTCAGCTCTGGTAATGGGGGGGGGCCCTGCCATGGTCCAGGGGCCCCAATTTCTCTAGTTCTGCCTGCCCATCTGCCAGACTCTGAGTGGGGGGCACTTCTTGCCCCGATTCCCCCTCCCCTCCCCAGTGATTTCTGGAGCAGAAGGAAAGTAAGGCAGGGGAGGCCTCCAGGGGCCTCTGCTAGACTCCAGGCCTCCCAGCCTGGGCCTCGGCTCTCAGCCTCCCGTATCTTGAGTCTTTCCAGGGAAGAGTGGGAATCCTGAATTCCCAGCTCAGAGATTTGGCAGTCCCCTCCCCTGAGGGAGCTGGAGGGGGGCTCAGGTGGAAGAGGAGGGCGGGCTCTTCCTGTGATGGGGGGACGCAGGCCCGGCCTCCCCTTCCTTCCAGATCCCTCTCTTCTCCTTCCTCTCCCGCGCTCTCCCTCCCTCTTCCTCTCTTCCCACCCCCCCCACCCCACCCAATTCAGCCCCAGCTCCCATCGACCCCCCCCCCCAACCCTCCTTACCCAGCCAGAACTGACTTGGGGCTCCAGAAGCACCGCAAGACGTGACCCCCGCGGCTGCAGGGGACCTGAGTGAAACAAAACTGAAAGCAACGGAGGCAAAGGCAACTTCCGTCCCCAGGCGGGACACCAGGCTGGGCGCCGCCCTCTCCCCCGCCCGCCCGCCCAGCCAGTCCCTCCGCCCTCCCCTTCCTCATTCCAGCACACACACACCCTGATCCAGCAGGAAGCCCCCAGGGCAGGGCGGGGGCGCTCTGGGATCCCCTCCTTCTAGCCCAGCCCACACCTTCCAAACAAGCGGGGCTCAGGGCTGTGGTTTCTCAGTGTTTGGTGACTTTGGGATAACGGGAAGGGAGGAGGGGCAGAGTAGCAGAACTCTGAGCCCCTGGAAACACCCAGCCTGGGGGTCCAGGCCTGACTGGAGGACCCCTCAGGGGTCTCCCTGACTCCCAAGGTACAGCCAAAAGTTCCTGGAGGGGCCAGGACACCAGTGCGCATGCCTATAATCACAGCGACTTAGGAGGCTGAGATCTGAGGATCGTGATTAAAACCCAGTCCCAGACAGGAGCGTCCATGAAACTCTTGTCTCCAATGAATCAGCCCCAAGCTGGAAGTGGAGGTGTGGCTCCAGTGGTAGAGTGCTAAACAGAGAAAAGGGATCGGCAGGGGCGAGGGCGTGGGGGGAAGGGGGGTAGTTGTGGAGGTGGGAAGGAAGGGGTGGTAGGGGGGAAAACAAAGGAGGCAACAATGCTTAATAGGAAATGTACTCATTACCTTGCTCATGTAACTGTAACCCCTCTGTACAGCATTTTCACAATGAAAAATGTACATAAAAGAAAGAAAAGGCTCTGGGACAGCACTGAGGCCCTGAGTTCAAGCCCCAGGACAAGAAAAAAGACAATAGTCAAATGAACATTTTGTGTTCCTCCCTTCCTTTGGTGGTGGAAAGGTGTGGCCGAGCCTTTCCTGACTGCAGGACCTGGATCTACCTTGTTTTTCACTTAAGATCTGAGGACAGTTTTCCCAGGCTGGGACACGTGACATGACTGGCGGTCTCCTGAGGTTCCGGGATCACGAGGTAGACACTCACACCATAATTAAGACTGCAGTGCGCAGCGTTGCTAAGCTACCGATGTGTTGTCTCAACAGGAGATTTCAACTTGGAAATGTCCTAAGGCCTGACACCTGTGGCTCACACCTGTAATCCCAGCCACTCAAGAGACTGAGGTCTAAGGATCAGGTTCAAAGCCAGCCTGAGCAGGAAAGTCCGTGAGACTCTTATCTCCAATTAATCAACCAAAAGCTGGAAGTGAAGCTGTGGCTCTAGTAAAGCACTAGCCTTGAGCGAAAAAGCTAAAAGTGATTGAGAGGCACTGAATTCAAGTCCCAGAATACACACACACACACACACACACACACACACACACACACAACTATCTCCTAAGGATATAACCTCACGTGTGTATGTTGATTGTGGGGCTTGAACTCAGGGCCTGGGCACTGTCCCTGAGCTCTTTTGCTCAAGGCTAGAGCGCTACCACTTTGAGCCACAGTGCCATTTCTGGTTTTTGAGTAGTTCCTTGGAGATACAAGTCTCAGGAGGACTTTTCTGGGCTGGCCTTGAACCATGATCCTCAGATCTCAGCCTCCTGAGTAGCCAGGATGAGAAGCGTGACTCACCAGTGCCCAGTCCAATTTAATTTTCCTGGTAACTGGGCATGGAGACAAGTTAAGTTACCCCAAGTCCAGTGAAATGCTCTGGGAACACGAAGGCTTCCTGGCAGAGGTGGCATTAGGGTCACCCCCCCACACACACACATACACACTCTGAACAATAGTGAGCCAGGCCCGGGGGAGGGGAGCATCTCCCCCCAACCCCAATCAATCAGCACTCTAAGTCCTGACTCCAGCCTGTGATGTTGCCATGGTTACCTGTAGCTAGGAGCCTGGAGGAGGAGGGGGAGGGTGGGGATGCAATCTCACCGGATTCTGGGGCTCCGTGGGGATCACACGTGGTCTGTTGGATGGGTGGAGGAAGGCGGATGGTCTAGCACAACAAACTTTAGAATTCCCTCCAAGCTCGCAGAGCTGCGGAGAACAGCGCCATTTGCTTTTCATGGGGGCATTTTATAGGAAGGGGGTTTTTATAGGAAGGGGTTTCATGGAGGTGATGTTTGCTAAGGAAAGCAAGCAAGGTTACAGAAGCAAAACAGCCTTGAATTGCAAAAAGCATAGGTAAAACAGTCTTGGCTTGGTCAGCATGACTGATACTATCAATGCAAAAAGTCAGAATATAGCCTTGGATTACAGAGGTCAAAGCATTAGAAACTCATTCCCACAGTTGGGGGTACACTGAAATTTTCTTTACGGAAATGATTCTTTTTTTTTTTTTTTGGTCAGTCATGGAGCTTGAACTCTGGGCCTGGGCGCTGTCCCTCAGCTCTTCAGCTCAAGGCTAGTGCTCTACCATTTGAGCCACAGCGCCACTTCTGGTTTTCTGGTGGTTAATTGGATATTAGAATCTCATGGACTTTTCTGCCTAGCTGGCTTTGAACTACAATCCTCAGATCTCAGCCTCCTGAGTAGCTAGGATGACAGGCGTGAGCCACCAGCACCCAGCTACTATGAACGTTTGTATACAGCTTTTTGTTTGGCCATAAGCTCTCCTTCCTTCCTTCCTTCCTTCCTTCCTTCCTTCCTTCCCTCCCTCCTTCCTTCCTTCCGTCCTTCCTCCCCTCCCTCCTTCCTTGCTTCCCTCCCTCCCTCCTTCCTCCTTCCTTCCTTCCTTCCCTCCTTCCTTCCTTCCGTCCTTCTTCCCCTCCCTCCTTCCTTGCTTCCCTCCCTCCCTCCTTCCTCCTTCCTTCCTTCCCTCCCTCCCTCCCTCCTTCCTTCCTTCCGTCCTTCCTCCCCTCCCTCCTTCCTTGCTTCCCTCCCTCCCTCCTTCCTCCTTCCTTCCTTCCTTCCCTCCTTCCTTCCTTCCGTCCTTCTTCCCCTCCCTCCTTCCTTGCTTCCCTCCCTCCCTCCTTCCTCCTTCCTTCCTTCCCTCCCTCCCTCCCTCCTTCCTTCCTTCCTTCCTTCCTTCCTTCCTTCCTTCCTTCCTTCCTTCCTTCCCTTTCTGTTCTTTGCTTCGTCTCTTTTTTTCTCTTTCTTTCCTTCTTCAATAGAGTCTCTCTAAGTAGCTCCAGCTGGCCTCAAACTCCCCGTCCTCTGGCCTCGGTCTCCCAAGTGCTGGGATTATAGGCATGTACCCTCACGTCTGGCTTCAAACTTTGTGTCTTGTGTGTGTCAAGCAAACATTGCACCACCAAGCTATATCCCCAGCCCATATGTTTTGTTTTACAAGAAATTACTAAGCTTCTTGCTTCCCACCTAGTTGTACATTGAAGCCTCCAGACTCTGTCTTCCATCAACCAGCAAAATGCTGGACCGGAGGCATGGCTCAGGTGGTAGAGTACCAGCATTGAGCAAATGAGCTGAGAATAGGAGGCCCTGGCCCAGGGCTTGTGGCCCTGGCTTGGCTCTTCTGCCCCCTGCCAGTGTGCGCTTGAGAAGCTCTTCGGTTCTGCCCCCAGCTGAAGGATTCTCCTGTGCCGAGGGGCAGGTCCGAGGCTGGCTTCCACAGGACCAGTGCTTGTCCTCGGCTCCACAGAAATCTATCCCATTGACCCGGGCAGCAAGCAGGACCACTTCCCTGCCCAGCTTCAGGGTACGGGGCCCCACTCTGCGCCCCCACGAGGCTGAAATCCAGTTACCTCTTGGTACCCAAAGTTGCTCTGAGGCCTCCTTTGACTCTGGGCCCTCCGCGCGGCCCTGCGTCGGGCCCGTGTTTACCCTCTTCTCTCAACTTGCTATTGCAGTGGTGCGGATGCACATGCGTAGTGAATAGCACGGAGCATTGATACAGTGTCTGGGTTCTTGAATACTGACATACTGTGCTATTGAATATTGATATGGTGGGCTATTGAATAGGAATAGATTGGATGTATGTGTGCTGTGAAATAATATGAAATGTTTTTTTTTTTTTTTTTTGTTGGTCGTGGGGCTTGAACTCTGGGCCTGGGCGCTGTCCCTCAGCTCTTCAGCTCAAGGCGAGTGAGTGCTCTACCACTTGAGCTACAGCGCCACTTCCGGTTTTCTGGTGGTTTATTGGAGACAGGAGTCTCACGGTCTCTCCTGCCCGGGCTGGCTTTGAACCGCGATCCTCAGATCTCAGCCTCCTGAGTAGCTAGGATTACAGGCGTGAGCCACCAGCGCCCGGCTAAAGAATGGTTTTAGCGTGATTTATGTTCTTAATTTTTTTTCTGCTTATGTGGTGCTGAGGAATCGAACCCAGGGCCTCATGCATGCAAGGCAAGCACTCTACCACTGAGCCACCTTCCCAGCCCTGAAATGTTAAACTCAAATTAGGAGCTAGAATGAGAAGTTAGGGGAGTGGCGCTGTGGCTCAAGTGGTAGAGCACCTGCCTTGAGCTGAAGAGCTCAGGGACGCGCACAGGCCCAGAGTTCAAACCCCACAACCCACCAAAAAAGAAAAAGAAGAAGTTAGAATATGGAAGATAGAGATACGGACACACCCTGGAAGCCTAGAGAGCCTTCTCCAAGATAAGCAGACCCAGGGCAGGCTAGCCGCTCCGCCCCAGCCACTGCCAGATGTGACCGGAAGCAAAGCTGCCACCAAGGCGGCCAGAAATGAAAGGCCCAGCCTAGAACATATAAACACCCCTGGGCAACAGAGACCCAGCGCGGTGGCCTCCCCGAATGCGGCCACTCCACGTCGGACCTAACCTCCCCTGGAGCCTGCCCCGGCAAGCCAGCCGCTTCTCCCTCCAGAGACTCGGAGCAGCCCGGAGGACACCCTTGGTGGGCTTTGCTCGACCTTCGAACCAAGTGATGCGATGTGTGAGCTCCCTTGGGTGACACATGCGTAGTAGGATTAGGCATAAGAGTTATTGCTAGGTGCCAAGGGCTCACGCCTGTAATCCTAGCTACTCAGGAGGCTGAGATCTGAGGATGGCGGTTCAAAGTCAACCTGGGCAGGAAAGTCCATGAGACTCTTTTTTTTTTTGTCGGTCGTGGGGCTTGAACTCTGGGCCTGGGCGCTGTCCCTCAGCTCTTCAGCTCAAGGCGAGCGCTCTACCACTTGAGCCACAGCGCCACTTCTGGCTTTCTAATGGTTTATTGGAGATAGGAGTCTCATGGTCTTTCCTGCCTGGGCTGGCTTTGAACTGTGATCCTCAGATCTCAGCCTCCTGAGTAGCTAGGATTACAGGTGTGAGCCACTGGCACCTAGCTTCGTGAGACTCATCTCCAAGAAACCAGAAGTGGTGCTGTGACTCAAGTGGTAGAGCACCTGCCTTGAGCTGAAGAGCTCAGGGATGCGCCCAGCCCCAGAGTTCAAGCCCCATCACCACCACCACCAACAAAAAGGTAGTTATTGGTGTGGATTGTATTTGAAGTGTTTGAATAAATTGAGTGACACTTACTAGTCTACCCATAATGCTGTATTTGAGTTCAGCACAACATGCCTATCATCCCGGATCTCCCGGAGCCTGAGACGGAGAAAGATCTGGAGTTTGAGGTTGCAAAACCCATGCACACTCAACTCCCTCTCCTTAAAGCAGAGCAAACAAAAACCGAGCCCCAACAAGAAAAGCTTTGCTCCTTTCCAGGACAATGCCCTCCTCCACCTCCAACCTCGGTCCACGGCTCCCTCTCCCCCCAGCTGTCTCCCCTGTGGCCTGCCCCACGGCTCCCAGCCTCCTTTGCCACCCATGGCCACCAGGGGGCATGCTGTCCCCTCCAAAGCAGATCTGCTCTCCTCACGGGGTGGGGGGGGGGTGGGGGGGGGGGGTCTTGCCCAGGGCTTTGGAGGGCTCCTAAAAAAAAAAAAAAAATCCAAGACAAAATTGAACACAGAGGGCTCTTGTCCAGATGCTTAGGAGGCTGAGAACTAGAGGATCATGGTCAGAGGCCAGCCCAGGTTCCTGAGAACACCCCCCCCCCACCCCCCTTTCCTTGCTCAACCTGTAGCTGGGTGCAGTGGTGTGTGCCTGTTACCCCAGCCAGTCCAACCCCACGCCACGGCACTTTCAACAGAAGAGAGTTTGGGGAGAGGGAGGGCTGAGCTCCCAGACTGTCCCCCCCCCCCCAGGACCCTCCAGAGTAGCTAGGATTACAGGCCTGAGCCATAGCGCCCAGCTTTGCCTTCCCTCCCCCCCCCCCCTTTTTGAGATGGGTTCGCTGTGTGTAGCCCGGGCTAGCCTTGAACTCTTGAGTCTCCTGTCTCAGCCTCTAGAGTGCTGGGATTACAGGTGTGCACACCCTACCACCACCACACCTGGCTTAATATGGAGCTCTCTGCCCTTTATCATGGGTGACATATGAAGATGGAGTATGACCGCACACCAAGGCCAAAGGCCGGGAGTAGAGCCTCAGCACTGGCCAGCCCGTGCTGGGCATGTGTGGGCATTCCTGGGCTGGGAGGGGGGGGGGGGCACACTGCATTCTCTGTTCTGGCCACTGGGGGGCACCGGGAGTCTGGAGCTGGCCTGTCACGCCAAGGGGTCAGTGCGTCCCAGCAGAGGAAAGCACTGGGGGGCTGAAGAGGGGGCTTCCGATGGCCGATCTTGAGTCCTTCATCAGGCCCGAGGCAGCACAGCACCGCAGCCGGCCCATGGGGCCCCCAGCTCTGCCTGCATTCCTCCTGGACTCCTGCTGGAGCGGCCATTTCTTTTTCGGCACGAGGTGTGTGTGTGTGTGTGTGTGTGTGTGTGTGTGTGTGTGTGTGTTGGTCCTGAGGCTTGAACTCAGAGACTGGGTGTTGTCCCTGAGGCTTTTTCTTGCCTAAGGCTAGTGCTCTAGCCACACCTTCACTTTTGGCTTTTTGGTGGTCATTGGAGATAAAAAGTCTCACATTCTTTCTTGCTCAGGGATGGCTTTGAACCTAGAGCCTCAGAGCTCAGCCTCCGGAATGGCTGGGATTACAAGCATGCGCCATGAAGGGTGCTCAGCTACGGTGTCACTCCTGTCTGTGTTCCTCTGATCCTGGCTTGTAGCCAGAGCTGTTTCTCACCCTCCCTTGTGCCCTGAACCTTGATGTTGCACCTCTGGATTTCCAGAACCCCATATTCTCCCGCCCCCCATCCCTGTTCTTGACCTCAGCACACCCCAGCTCCTTGGCCTTCACCTTGGCTTCCTGCCCCCTCTAGGCCCTGGCCTCCCGCCCTCAGCTCCCTCCAGGAGGCTCAGACCTAATCAGGCTGATTATCTAGTGCCAAGTTCAATTCCACTTTCCCTGGCTCTGACTCCACTCGCAGTAAATTTCCTTCCCCCGCCTGCTCCCTGGGAGGCCTGGGCCTCTCCAGCCTGCATGGGAAGTCGCCACCCCCTCTTTTCCCCCTGCTGGATCATCAGGGATGAATCAGGCCAGCCTGTGGGTCACTGAAATGCCCGCCGCCTCACAGGGGACGGTCAAGCGCCTTGGCCACAGCCTTCTGAATTCAGAACGATTTTCTTTTGGCTTCCAGGCTCCAAGACGAAAGAACACAACACAGGAGATCACATCACAGGAGCCTGAGCCAGGCCTAGTGACACATGCCTGTCACCCCAGCACCCAGGAGGCTGAGGCAAAAGGATCAGGTGTTTGAGGCCAGCTTGGATTATAGGAGACCCTGTCTGTAAAAGCCCAACTGGGACGGCAAAGCCCTGGTTAATCATCTGAGCTTCACGCGCTCGCTGATTGATCAAAGTCTCTGCTGCCTTGGTTTCCCTCATCTGTGCACCAGGGATGGTGAAAGTGCTTGGCATGAAGACCAGAGATGGAGCCCAGAGACAAGCGGCTCCTGTGCTCACCCAGGTGGGAAACAGCTTGCCAAGAGGTGGAGCAGGGCGGGCAGTGTCTGCTTTGGCTGTTCTATGGACAGCAGGCGGCTCTGCTGCAAGTGCAGCCTGTGAAATACCCCTATCCGAGCCAGGCACTGGTGCACACGCGTGTCATCTCAGCTAGTCAGGAGGCTGAGGGCTGAGGATTGCTGTTTGAAGCCAGCCCCAGGCAGGAAAATGCCATCCAAAGGTTACAAGTGGAGCTGTGGCTCAAAAGGTAGAGCTCCAGCTTTGAGTGAAAAAGCTTAGGGACAGCGCCCAGGCCCTGAGTTCAAGGCCCCAGCACCAACACACACACACACACACACACACACACACACACACACACACGTCTCTTTCCTATGGCCACTGACATCCAGACCTGTGGGAGGTGGGTCTCAGCGTTGGAGCTGAGGACTTTGCTGGCAAGTTCCTGAATGGCTGAAGGTTGTCCAAAGCCCAGCGGGGAGAGCAAGCTATGGAGTGGCACCTGCAGGTGCACCTGGTGTCCACCAGAGGGCAGCAGAGCCCAGGCTCTGCCATCATTGAGCCCTGAGTGAGGTGTTGAGCCTCCCAGACACCCACGGGCCCTGAAGGGTAATGAAGGAACCCTGAAATGTGAAGAATGGCAGCAGTGAAGGGGAAAGGCCCTTGCTCAGCCTAAGGCCACTTTACATCCAGAGGGGCCACCCGATCTCCCCACGCTTAGCTCAGAGAGTTCACGAGGCATAGGATTTGGGGTGTGGCTCAAAGCCTGGCAAGTGGGAAGCCTCCCCTCTCCCCTCTCACTCTCACTCCTCCTCTTCCCCCCCCCATCTCTCCAGGCGCCCTACCCTGGAGAGAGAAAAGGGGGAAGGAAGAGGGCCAGGGGGAGGGCAGGAGGGGAGATCCACAGGTTTTCCTCACTTGGTGACTACAGAAAGCTCTGGAAATCCTAAGAACGTCCCAAAGCTGCTTCTGCCTGGTTTAGTTATGACAGTCCAAAATCCATAAAAAAAAAATTTTATTTTTAAAAGGCAATTTGCTTTATTACGATAGAGGTGATATACAGAGAGTTAACAATTACACGAGTCAGGCAATGAGTCCATTTCCTTTCACACACTGTCTTTTGCATTAAATAATCTCATTAACAGTCCTAACCTTTCAAAGAGTGTGTGAATCCTGCAGGGACCAGGCCTGGGACCGGGCGTGGAAGGGCGCTGGGCCTGGGCTGGGGCGGGCTGGGCGCTGTCCTGGGTGCTGAAGTTCCTATCCTGGCGCCCATGCGCTCCTGGTGGAGTCTCTCAGTCCTCTTGGTTTCACATTAAGTCCCCTGGAAACTGCTCATTCCAGCCATGCTCCAGCGGCCTCAGCTCCCCACAGCCTCACACGCCGCTGTGATCCCTCCCTCCGAGCCGAGCCTCACAGGGACGTCATGACCACCTCTGGCCTCTGGATTTGGACCTGGGAAGAGACAGAGCCAGGTGAAGCCTGGGGGCCCCACAACTTGGTTTTGGAGGCATCTGAGGCGCTCATTTACAAAATTCATCTTGTTACATGGGGTAAAATACAAATACTGGCCTAACTGCACACCCAAGGGTGGGGCTTGCAAGCAGGCTGGCCACACGTCTGTTTCGTGCCCCAAATCTCTGCAGGGCATCGCTCATCTGATGCCAGTATTTCTTCTGAGCCTCCAAGACACAGCTCCTGGTAGGCTGGGCACCAGTGGGGCTCATGGCTGTGATCTTAACCACTCAGAAGGCTGAAATCTGGAGGATCACTGCTCAAGGCCAAATAAATCTGTGAGGCTCCATTTCCAATGAATCTGTGAGACTCCATTTCCAATGAACCCAGCAAAAAGCTAGGTTTCAGGTATGGCTCAAGTGGCAGAGCATTAGCCAAGCAAGAAAGCCAAGCAAGTGGGAGGCCCTCCCTGAGTTCAAACTCCAGTACTATATTTTAAAAATCCCCTGTCTCTTTGAAATAATGTTGATGTCATTACAGAAGAGTCATTTTTACCCAGGTGGCCAGTTTAAGTGTGATCATTAGTTTCCAGGAGCCCAGAGGACTGAGATTCATAACCAGACAAGCCCAGAGTGTGGGACAGCCTTCATGCCCACCCTCCTGCACTCAAATAGATGTTATTTTGTAGCACTTGAGGTAGACACTCTGCCACTCGAGCCGCACCTCCAGAGCCACTTTTTGCATTGGTTATATATATATTTTTTTGTCGGTCGTGGGGCTTGAACTCTGGGCCTGGGCGCTGTCCCTCAGCTCTTCAGCTCAAGGCGAGCGCTCTACCACTTGAGCCACAGCGCCACTTCCGGTTTTCTGGTGGTTTATTGGAGATAGGAGTCTCACGGTCTTTCCTGCCCAGGCTGGCTTTGAACCGCGATCCTCAGATCTCAGCCTCCTGAGTAGCTAGGATTACAGGCGTGAGCCACCAGCGCCCAGCAGCATTGGTTATTTTTGAGATAGGGTCTTATTTCATGCCCAGCCAGCCTGTGATCCTCCTATTTGCATTTCCCGGAGTTGCTGTTGATGACAGGCACATGCTTTTGCACCTAGCCATTGGTTGAGATGCAGTTTTGCTAACTTCCCCACTTCACCACCACCCCACCCGGTTTATCTGGCCTCAAACTGTGATCCTCCCATGCTTAGCCTCCTAAGTAGAAAATACCCAATTCAAGATAAAAAGACCAAAGAAGGGCAACAAAAACCAATGAGTAAAACTTGTTGTATCCATATCTGAATGTTATAATGTGTTATAACGGATATGCTCCTGCAGCCCTAGGGGGAAATGGGATATTGGGTAATTTTAAGGAATTACTATCAATTTATTGGGTGAATGACAGTGTTTGGGAAAAATCCAGGCAAGTGTTTAGGGAGCGAGTGTGAGAACATTTGCAACAGATGGTCAGGTTGTCCAGCAAAAACTGGATGGATAGACAGACATGAAGGAAGAAAATACAGCAACTGCTGAACCCCATTCTCTGCATAGGGCCTGTAAGTATGTACCATATCATAATTTCGACATTCATGTTTGCTTCCAAAATAAAATATCCTGGCAACACAGGCCTGCAAGCCCGGCACTCAAGACTCTGAAGCTGGACGATTGCAAGTTTGGGGTCAGCATGAGCTACATAGCAAGACCCTGTCTCAAAACTAAACTAATATAACAGCCAGACACAGTGGCTCATGCCTGTAATCCTGGCTACTTGGGAAATGGAGGGCCAAAGGATCATGATTTGAGGCCAAACTAGACAAAAATGTTGGTGAGCCCACATTTCAGCTGAGGCTGAAAGCTAAGCACGGTGGCTCACGCCTGCCATCCCAGATGTGAAGCCAGTACAAATAGGAGGATCGTGGTCCGGGCTGGCCCAGGCGTGAGTGAGATGCTCTATCTGAAAGAAATACCTAAATCAAAAATGAACAGCTCAGGTGGTGGAGCCCCTGCCTAGCAAGCACAGGGTGCCAAGGTCAAACTCCAATATTGCCCCAAACAGAAGTTAAAAACAAAACAAATAAGCCACCAAGGACATACTGGAAGCTGAGAAGGAAGCCGCAGAGCCTGAAAGTACAGGGGTGCAGGGAAGGCCGATCCCACCCCCCCATGTCCATTTTGTGGGTCCAGGGACCAGCCAGCTGTGCAGGGCTTTGATTCTCTGAAGGCAGAAGTTGAGGGGAGGAAGCATCAGGCTGGTCTCACCTTTCTTTCCAGGTCTATGTGGCTCAGGGAGGGCTGGAAGGTGCTGTACATGGAGTCCAGGTGAATGTAGTCTTCCCCTAGAGGAGGAGGGGGAAGGAAGAGAGGGGGAAGAAGGGGAAGAGAAGGAGGGGGAGAGGGAGGTCACCACACAAAGAAAGCTGGTTAGCAAGATAAGCTGGACCCAGACTCCAAGCTTGCTAGGCAAGTGCTCCCCGACTTGAACTATACCGCATTTTCAAATTTCATTTTCAAATAGGGTCTCACGCTTTTGCCCTGTTATTCCTAGAAGTTGAGGTTGCATTGGTTGTGAGCTGATTGTGATGCTTCTATCCCTGCCTCTGAAGTAGCTGGGATTATAGGTCTGCTCTATCCAGCTCAGGGCCTGACACAAACATGGTAAGGCTAGAAATTCATAAATACAGTGGTAGCTGTATTTTGACAGCAAGTAGCTCTGTGATAATCTATATCTAAGTATTTTATTTCTTCTCTCTCTCTCTCTCTCTCTTTTTTTGTTGGTTGTGGGGCTTGAACTCTGGGCTTGGGCATTGTCCCTGTGCTCTTCAGCTCAAGGCCAGCAATCTACCACTTGAGCCACAGCGCCACTTCCCGTTTTCTGGTGGTTAATTGGAGATAAGAGTCTCTTGGACTTTCCTGACTGGGCTGACTTTGAACCGTGATCCTCAGATCTCAGCCTCATGAATAGCTAGGATTACAGGCGTGAGCCACTGGCACATGGTGCTCCTCCAAGTATTTGCTGTCGCTATGATTTCTCATTTGGTTCTTTCTTGTTTGTTTGGCCAGTCCTAGGGCTTGAACTTGGGGCCTGGGCACTGTCCCTGAGCTTCTTTTGCTCAAGGCTAGCATCTACCACTTGAGCCACAGCGCCACTTCCAGATTTTTCTGTGTATGTGGTACTGAGAAATCAAACCCAGGGCTTCATGCATACTTAGGCAAGCACTCTGCCACTAAACCATATTCTCAGCCTCTTGGCTAAGTGTTGTAGAAACTTAACTTTTTCTTTCCCAAAGAAATCCTTTGTGGAGCTGGGTGCTGGTGGCTCAGGCCTGTAATTCTAGCTACTCAGGAGGCTGAGATCTGAGGATCATGGTTCAAAGCCAGCCCGGGCAGGAAAGTCCATGTGAGACTCATCTCCAATAAACCACTAGAAAAATCGGAAGTAGCGCTATGGCTCAAGCAGTAGAGTGCTCGCCTTGAGCTGAAGAGCTGAGGGACAGTGCTCAAGCCCAGAGTTCAAGCCCCACGACCGACAAAAAAAGAAAAAAGAAAAAAGAAACCCTTTGTGTGTGTGTGTGTGTGTGTGTGTGTGTGTACGTATTGTTGGTGTTGTCTTCACCGTCATTTGTCAGAAATATTTGTTATCAAGGTCTAAGTTTCTTGGATCATGGTCAGAAAATAAGAATCTGATGTAGGTAGTTTTGGGGAAATATATGGAAACTTTTTTGTGGCCTTGTACAAGGCTGTTTGTACAGGTTTTCTATGCCATGTTTTATTCATTTGTGTGTGAATTTTTTTCTATTTTCCACAAAAGATTTCCCTGTTTTTCATGTGCCTTTCACCCATAAGGAACAGCTCAATCTTGTATAAATCATTTTCCTCTTTGTGTGTGTATGTGTGTGACTGTGTTCTAGGGCTTGAATTTAGGGCCTAGGCGCTTGTCCCTGAGCTTTTTTTTTTTTTTTTTGGTCGGTTGTGGGGCTTGAACTCCAGGCCTGGGCACTTTCCCTGAGCTCTTCAGCTCAAGGTGAGAGCTCCACTGCTTGAGCCACAGCACCGCTTCTGGTTTTCTAGTCATTTATTGGAGATAAAGAGTCTCACGGGCTTTCCTGCCCGAGCTGGCTTTGAACTGTGATCCTCTGATCTCAGCCTCCTGAATAGCTGGGAATACAGGTATAAGCCACCGGCACCCGGCTTCCCTGAGCTTTTTGATTCAAGGCTGGTGCTATACCATTTTAGCCACAGCTCCACTTGCTTTTTGGTGGTGAACTGAAGATAAGAGTCTCTCAGACTTTCCTGCCCAGTCTGGTTTTGAATGCAGTCCTCAGATCTCAGCCTCTTGAGTAGCTGGGATTCCAGGTATGAACACTGCTGCTTGGTTTATAATCCATTATTCGTATCCATTTACAGTTACTGTGTTTATTGGTGGATTGGATTACTTCCAGCCATCTTATTATTATCTCCCATTGTCCCAGCCTTTTTTTCCCTTTCTTCTCTTTCTTGACCTTATATGGGCTGACTGGACCTTATTCTCATTCTAATCTTCTCCTTCTTAGAAGTTAACATTTTCCTTCCAGAAATTTCCTCATTCCATGGTTTTCTGTCTTCTGAAGTTTTACAGACTTCACTGCTAGAAACTTCAATGTAGGGCTGGGAAGGTGGCTCAGTGGTAGAGCGCTTGCCTTGCATGCCTGAGGCCCTAGGTTCGATTCCTCAGCACCACAAAGCAGGAAAAAAAAAGCCAGGAGTGGCGCTGTGGCTAAAGTGGTAGAGCGCTAGCCTTGAGCTGAAGAGCTGAGGGACAGCGCCCAGGCCCAGAGTTCAGGCCCCACAACCGGACCCCCCCCCCTAAAAAAAAGAAAAGAAAAGAAAAGAAAAGAAACTTCAATGTACGCTCACACTGAAATAGCCTAATGCTGATCTCTTGGCTGAGATGAAACTCACCTGTGAACCACTTCACCCATGATTGGCTCAGCACTTATGATCTAGAATGATCTAGAACCACAATGCTTCCTGTAGGCCCTGTGTTGGTACCTCATTCCTTGGTGTTGCTGGAGCCAGTTGAGGAAATGGGGTTTCCAGTGTGGTGGCATGCTTCTTCCCTCCCCTCCTCGGAGCCCCATAATCTCCCCATGTGCCCTCCCACACACAACTTGAGTCATTCTGAGTCCCGATGGGATTGCCCATACCTTCTGACACATCGAAACCAATGTTCTGGAAGGTTCCAGGAGCTGCTCTACCCTCCTCTTCATTCCATTTGTATAACTGCGACACTTTGAGCTTTTGCCTGTTGGAAGACATCCCACACCCACAGTGAACCCATTATGATCAAGGACAGGGCACGGAGGGGACACAAGTAGATCCTGCGGGTGTTGGAGGACGGATGTGGGGGTGGCTCACCTTTGGGCCTTCCTCTTGAAGCGGAAGGTGAAGAAGCCGAGGACAACGAGGGCCACCAACACCACCACGACTGCTGCACCCACGAGCGCGAACACCAGGCTCTTCTGGATGCCCCACTCGCAAGTCTCCCCTTGGTACCAGTGCGTGTCGGTGCTCAAACAGCTGCAAGAGCACAGAGAGGTCAGCCCGCAGCCCTGGGGAACTGCAGGATAGGGGCTCCAGGGCACAGGGCACGGGCAGGGCGCAGGCACCGCCTCCTCAGCTGGTCTTCCAGTGAGCCCAATCCAGAGCCTCAGGCCTCAGGACATTGGCTCAACCCTAGGGCTTGGCCTGCCAGGTGGATGGATTTCCAGTTTCCCACGCACCTCCCAGCCCTGAACCCCAGCTCCTGCCCTGCCCTGAAGCTCTTCCTCTCCCTCCAGCCCCTCTAAAATCCCAAGGCACCTGTGGCTCCCACTTGTCATCCTGGCCACTCAGAAGGCTGAGATCTGAGGATTATGGTTCAAAGCCAGCCCAGGCAGGAAAGTTCATGAGACTCTTATCTCCAATAATCCACCAGAAAACTGGAAGTGGCGTCACCATGGCTCAAGTGCTAGAGCATCAGTCTTCTGTTGTTGTTGTTGTTGGTTGTGGGTCTTGAACTCTGGGCCTGGGTGCTGTCCCTCAGCTCTTCAGCTCAAGGGTAGCACTGTAGTGCTTGAGCCACAGCACCCCTTCTGATTTTCTGGTGGTTTATTGGAGATAAGAGTCTCACAGCCTTTCTTGCCCGTGCTGGCTTTGAACCATGATCCCCAGATCTCAGCCTCCTGAGTAGCTAGGATTATAGTCATGAGCTACCAGCGCCCGGCTTAGAGCATCAGTCTTGAGTGAATAAAAGCAAGGGACAATGTCTAGGCCCTGAGTACAAGCCCTGGTACCTGGACCCACATACAAAGTAAATAAACCTTGTTCCCTTCCTTGTCTAAGGCCTGGTCTAGAATGACCCCTCAGGTCTCAGCTAGTACACGATTCTCTGCTACAACTTTTGCTTGGTAGAGTCATCTCTGTTTTATTTATTAATAATTAATTTAATTTTTGTGTGTGCCAGTAATGGGTCTTACACTCAGGTGCTGGGCATTGTCCCTGAGATTTTTCCCTCAAGGCTGGTGCTCTACCACTTGAGTCAAAGCTCCAGGTCCAGCTTGTTGCTGATTAATTGGAGATAAGAGTCTCATGGACTTTCCTACATGGGTTGGCTTTAAATTGTGATCCTCAAATCTCAGCCTCCTGAGTAGTAAGGATGACAGCCACCAGTTCCCAGCAGGATCATCTCTCTTTAAGTCAATTGTAAATTATTTGAGACAGAGTCTTGCACTGGCTTGGCACTCAGGAGGCTCTGGCAGGAACCTCCTAAGAGCTGGGATTACAGGCATGCCACTGTGGCTGGATGTGTGTTTACAATGAGTGCGTGTCTTGGCTCTTAACCTGCCCCATTAGAGGCTGAAGGCAGTGGGGAGATGGAGCCAGGGGCGCCCCTGGCTCCTGGGGTGGTGGGTACTCACAGGCAGCGGGGCCCAGAGCGCTGTAGCTGGCACTTTCCATAGTGACAGTCCTTGGAGAAGTTGAAGCCGGCCATGCAGGGCGTGACGCAGTACAGCTTGCCCTTCAGGAACTCCACCCGGAAGTAGGGTGCAAAATCCTCCCCAGCCTTTTTCTGGCATTCCTCTGAGGGAGGGAACAAGAAGAAGCCAGGGAGGAAGAGGGGGTGCAGGGTGCTCCCCCTGGCTTCTCCAGCCCCCGCTTTCCAACCCTGGTCATCCCCACAGCCTTCCTCGGCTCCATGGGGAACCCTACCTTCAAAATTGTTCTCAGCAACAGTAAAGTTTTGCACCACGGTGGCAGTTGAATTGAAGCAGAGGATGGCTGGGAGAGAGACAGGAGAGTTTGTGATGGCCTTGTTCAGCACCCTTGGGTGAGGACTCAGGGCTGCGCTGGGGGACTGGGAAGCTGGCTGGTGCCAAGGTGCAAGGCCAGACTCCCTCCTAGCTCCCCGAATCCACCACCCTCCGTGTCCCGGGGCTCCCTGGTTCCTTTTCCCTTTCCCCTCCAGCCCCTAAAACGGAATATTTGCAGTGTCATGCTGAGTCTTGCTGAGTCCTGCTGACTCATGCTGAGTCATGCTGGGTCACACTGAGCCTTGCTGACTCATGCTGAGGTCACACGGAGTCTTGCTGAGTCCTGCTGACTCATGCTGAGTCATGCTGGGTCACACTGAGCCTTGCTGAGTCATGCTGAGGTCACATGGAGTCTTGCTGAGTCATGCTGGGTCACACTGAGCCTTGCTGAGTCATGCTGACTCATGGTTTTCTAGCAGACCCAAGATCCCGGACCCCTTAATATGGGTGAAGGGACTCTGCAGGACCTCTGCAGGTCTTCTGCATCTCTACTTGTCTTTTTAAGTCCCCCTTTCCAGGGTTCTGCTGGAATAACCCATTCCAGGGGTGGGGGGGCACTAGGCTCCTTCCTCTCCCTCCTCCCCTCTTCCTCCTCCCTCCTCCCTGCCCCTCCTCTCCCCTTGCTTACAGGAGCAGGAGTTATTGACGCTTATCTGCTGTTGCGTTGCAGTCTGGATTTTTTCCTCTACTTCTGCTTTGGCCTTGTTGAATACTTCCTTGTAATCTGGGACGTACTGGACCTTCAGGATGACTTCGTGCTCCACCACCACACTGCCAGAACTGAAGGCAGAGGGATAACTCTCACACACCATGCCGGGCTCCCCAGCCTCCCCTCGCAGCTGTGGGGAGCCATGGCCAATGCTGTGTTCCAGGCCTGCACTAGACCTTCTGCAGTCCTCATGAAAACAAATGATTGAGCCTCTAAAACTCCCTCCCTACAAGAGTTAGGCTCTGGAGCCCATCACCAGTGACACACCTGTCAGCTCAGCTCATCAGGAGGCTGAGATCTGAAAATCGAGGTTCAAATCCAGATGGAACAAGAAAGTCCATGAGACTCTTTATCTCCAAAAAGCCAGCACACACACGCGCGCGCGAGCGCGCACACACACATTTAAAAAATCATAGCTATTAGTGTCGAAAGATTAAATAGACTTTGCCAGAGAATCACAGAGACATCCAGGCACAGAAAACAAAGAAGGATTTATTGCTGGAAAAGGGGCCAGCAAGACTCGGCTTCCCACAAGGGAGAAGTGAGAAGAAGCGCCGCCCATTGTCTGAGGTGATCTATATAACCTAGGAGGTTTAGGAGGGGCTAGAAGGGGCTAGGAGGTGGAGACCCCAGTGTGGACGTGTGGGCCAAGGGCTTCATCATGGTGGACTAGGATTCATGGCTGCTGCCCAGACAGTAGATAAGGGGTCCTGCAGCTGCCCAGACCTGAAGGTCACTCTAAGGGGCTCTTGTTGGCTTCTATGGTGGTTGCTGCCCCAGAGAAGTGCCATCCCAAGGGAAAGGGGGCTGGAAGTTGATTATTTACTGCCTTTACTACATAGGTCTGGTGTTGCCTAGGAAGGGAGCTTGCTGAGCGCTGGAGAAGGCAAGGAGAGTGCTAAGCCATGGGAAGGGAGCTCATTTTGCTAACAAGTGTAATTTTATTTCTTTATTTTTGTTATACTGGTCCTGAGGCTTGAACTTGGGGTCTGGATACTGTCCTTGAACTTTTTCTCTCAAGGCTAGCACTTGAGGCACAGATCCACTCCCAGCTTTTTGGTGTTTAAGAGATAAAAGTTAAGCCAGGCATCCGTGGCTCATGTCTGTAATCCTAGCTACTCAGGAGGAGGCTGAACTCTGAGGATCCCGGTTCAAAGCCAGCCAGCCTGGGCAGGAAACTCCATGAGACTCTTATCTCCAATAAACCACTCAGAAAACTGGAAGTGGTGCTGTGGCTTAAGTTGATAGAGTGCTCACCTTGAGCTGAAGAGCTGAGGGACAGCACCCAGGCCCAGAGTTCAAGCCCCACAACCGACAAAAAAAAAAAAAAAAGATAAAAGTTGCATGGACTTTCCTGTCTTGGTTGGCTTTGAACTACAAACCTGTTCTCAGCCTCCTGAGTAACTGGGATGACAAGTGTGAGCCACTGTACCCAGCCTATTTTTGTAATTCTTTTTTTAAATAAGTTTTTTATTGTGAAAATACTGTACAGAGGGGTTACAATCACTTGAGCAAGGTCATGAGTACATTTCTTTTTTTTTGGGGGGGGGGTCCGGTTGTGGGGCCTGAACTCTGGGCCTGGGCACTGTCCCTCAGCTCTTCAGTTCAAGGCTAGCACTCTACCACTTGAGCCACAGCGCCACTTCCGGCTTTTTCTTTTTGCTTATGTGGTGCTGAGGAATCGAACCCAGGGCCTCATGCATGCAAGGCAAGCGCTCTAGCACTGAGCCACCTTCCCAGCCCCGGTAATGAGTACATTTCTTATCAAACATTGTTGCCTCCTCCTTTGTGTTTCCCCTACCATCCATTCCCTTCCATCTCCACAACTACATTCCCCCTCTCCCACCCCCGCCATTTTAGTAATTCCGAAGTGACATCTGATATCTAAAAGGCTAACATTTTAATCAAAAGTCTCAAGACTTAGAGTCAGAACTTTCACAAGAACCCAGCCTAAAGATCTTTGACAATCTTGAACTCAAGACGTTTCTCTATCTCAAGATCTTCCTGTCGCCACCTAAGAACTAGGGTTAAAGCTTTGTGCCACTATACCCAGTCCTATCTTTCTATCTATCTATCTATCTATCTATCTATCTATCATCTATCTCATAGATAGAGATATATCTATTCATTCATTTATTTTGACATAAGGTCTCACTATGTTGTTCAGGTTTGGCCTCAAAATCCTGGGCTGAAGCAATCCTTGTACCTCAGCATTCTGAGAATCTGTTACTCCAGGCACACACCACCATGCCTGGATTCTTCCACATACTTGAAATCATCTCTAGATTATGTATCATATGTAACATGAATGCTATGAAAATAGGTGTCATTCTATGTTGTTTAGGGAATGATGACAAGGGGAAAAAAGAAACTTCTGAATATTCAGTCTAGATGCAAGTATATTTTTTTGGGGGGGAGGGGGGTTGTGGGGCTTGAACTCTGGGCCTGGGCGCTGTCCCTGTGCTCTTCAGCTCAAGGTGAGCACTCTACTGCTTAAGCCACAGTGCCACTTCTGGTTTTCTAGTGGTTTATTGGAGATAAGAGTCTCACAGACTTTCCTGCCCGGGCTGGCTTTGAACCGCGATCCTCAGATCTCAGCCTCCTGAGTAGCTAGGATTACAGGAGTGAGCCACCAGTGCCCAGCTAGGTGCAAATATTTTTTTCCCCAGAACATTTTCAATCCACAGTTCACTGAATCCATAAATATGACACCAACAGATATGACTGTACATCCCATACAGCATACAGAATGAATCCTAGAGCTAGAAGAACTCGTGGAACAAAACAACATGGGATTTGGAAAAGACCAGAGGGAATTTTAAGTTCAAGACTATCTTTCATTAGAAAGAAGTGGTTAGGGCTGGGAAGGTGGCTCAGTGGTAGAGTGCTTGCCTTGCATGCGTGAGGCCCTGGGTTCGATTCCTCAGCACCACAGAAGCAGAATAAAATGGAAGTGGTGCTGTGGCTCAAGTGGTAGAGCACTAGCCTTGAGCTAAGAACTGAGGGACAGTGCCCAGGCCCAGAGTTCAGGCCCCACGACCAGCAAAAAAAAGAAAGAAAGAAAGGAAAAAAGGAAGAAAGAAAGAAGGAAGTGGTAATCCCATTATACCCTCTTGGTGGTGAACCTGGGCATTGACTAGGCAACACCAATGCCCTCTTCTGGAGTGGAGCTGGGATGGGCATACTGGCAGTTGCCCCCAATGGCAAGGTGGCCATGGACAAGTCCATAAGCCTCCTGGAGGCTCAGTTTCACTGTGTGTGGAAAGACCTGGCATCCATCCCATACTTGGCCTGGAGCTTTTCCAGGATGTCTGTCTGTTCCCAACAGTATTTTTGTTTTGAGTTTGACTCTACCATTTTATAATCTTTGGGGAAGACTCCATGTGCCTCTGCGCCTTGGCTCCCATGTCCATGCCATGTGGACAGTCATGCAACGTGGCTCGCTCACACACTGCTTCTGTACTCTTAGAGGGAGAGTTCCCTTCTGGATTTGGACAGTTAAATTTGTCTGGGGGGGGGGGCAGTCCTGGGCTTCAACTCTGGGACTGGCTACTGTCCTTGGGGTTGTTTTGCTCAAGGCTAGTACTCTGCCACTTGAGCCACGTCTGGCTTTTTCTGAGATTAATTGGAGATGAGTCTCATAGACTTTCCTGCCTGGGCTGGCTTCCAACTCCAGTCCTCGCCTCCTGAGTAGCCAGGATTACAGGCATGAGCCACTGGTGCCTGACCAGACAGTTAATCTTGATTGTCAACTTTGTCAACTTGATTCTCTTCTCCCCTCTCCTTCCCTTTCTCCTTCTCCCTTACCTCCCACTTCCTGGCTACTATGAGGGAAAACACTCCCCACATCTGCCTTGATGGACTGAAACCTCTGAAAAACTGAGCCCAAACAAATCCTTCTTTCCTAAAGTCCATTGTTAGGTATTTTGCTCCTGTGATGGAGAGTCTGACCACATTAAAACTATGACAAATCCCCTCCCCTCCCCAGACCCGAGGCTCTGGCCACCCTTGGAAATAAGGCCTTTGAATGTGACAAAGTCAAAGGGAGGCTGTTGAACCTCTGACCTAATGTGTGTTCTCCTAAGAAGAGGAAAGTTAGGCTGTACTCCCAGCCCTCAGGAGGACTGTGAGTTCAAGGCCAGCTTGGGTTGCATAGTAAGACTATGTCTTGAAAGAAAGAGACAGGGGAGGGGGGGGAGTGAGAGGAAGGGAGGAAAGGAAGGAGGGAGGGAAGAGAGGAAGGGAGGAAGGAAAGAAAGGTGGACAAGGAGTAGGGATGTTCACAGAGTGGAAGGGGCCCAGCAAGGGGGTCTGGTAGCACACTCGGGAGTGGCTGCAGGAGGGAGCAGTACTACAGGTACCTTGACCTCAACTAGCAGCCTTCCCATCCCATTTACCTCAGCCTTGTGATGTTCACTCCTCCATACTCGGGGATACCGGCGTAGATCTGGTCCATCTGAAAGACAAGGGGCCATTGTGTCAGGCCAACATTCCCCCTTGGTATCTGCTGGAACTTTCCATGGAGTGGTGGCCTATCCCTGCAACGTTCCTGTACCAGAGATATGCTGACTACATGGGAGCCCCATTCCTAGAGGCCAGCCCCACCTGGCTCCACAGACCAGCTTCGCCACATCCCCCTCTCCCACACTAATCCTGAGAATTTAGGCAAGCTGGGCAAGTCGTTGTCTAACAATCCTTTAGTTTCTGCCTTTCCTTCTTCCCTCCCTCCCTTCCTCCTCTTTTCCTCTTTCCTTCCCTCTGTCCCCATCTGTCTGTTTTTGTCTTGGTCCTGGGGCTTGAATTCAAGGCCTCAGCACTGTCCCTGAGGTTTTTTTGTTGTTGTTGTTGTTGGTCGTGGGGCCTGAACTCTGGGCCTGCGCGCTGTCCCTCAGCAATTCTGCTCAAGGCTAGGGCTCTACCACTTGAGCCAAAGCGCCACTTCTAGCTTTTTCTGCTTATGTGGTGCTGAGGAATTGAACCCAGGGTCTCATGCATGCAAGGCAAGCACTCTACCACTGAGCCACCTTCTCAGCCCCTCCCTGAGGTTTTTTTTATTCAAAGCTACCTCTTGACCCATAGTTCCACTTATGGCTGTCTGGTAGTTAATTGTAGATAAGAGTCTTACAGATTTTTCTGTCTGAGCTGGCTTTGAAGAGTGATCCTTGGATCTCAGCCTCATGAGTAGCTAGGATAACAGGTGTGCACCACCGGTACGTGGCTCAATCCTTTTTTAACCCATCCAGAACCCTCCCTAGAAGAAACTGTTAGTTCTTGGGCATCTTGCTGCCTCAGTTTTACCTGTTTGTTTTTGGGGGGGGGTCCAGTCATGGGGCCTGAACTCTGGGCCTGGGCGCTGTCCCTCAGCTCTTCAGCTCAAGGCTAGTACTCTACCACTTGAGCCACAGCGCCACTTCTAGCTTTTTTCTTTTTGCTTATATGGTGCTGAGGAATCGAACCCAGGGCCTCATGCATTCAAGGCAAGCACTCTACCACTGAGCCACCTTCCCAGCCCCAGTTTTACCTGTTTTGTGAAGGTCTCATTGAACTCCTTAAATCTCTTGGAATTCCGGTCCTGTAGCTCACTGCTGAACTGTTCAGTGGTGACTGTCACGGTCAGATCTACCTGGGCAGAGACGGTCTGTTCTGTGGGAGACAGAAGCACTACCCAGTGAGCACACACCCCCTCTCAGCTCCCTGCTATAGAGATTGGCACCCCCATAACCTTACCCTGGGTACAAAGGTGACTGGAGTGGGGGGTGGGGGGGGCTCCCGCTCTCCTCTGGAGGGAAAAAGAAGCTTGCTACACTCTTCAGGGCTCATAGATGGAGCCTAGGGGAGCTCAGAACTTCCCAATGAATTGCAGGCTTGCTCCTCCACTGAATGCAGATGGTCCTCGACTTACAATGGGGTTACAGCCTGATACACCCATCGTAAGTTGAACTATTTTTTTTTGTCAGTCATGGGGCCTGGCACTGTCCCTCAGCTCTTCAGCTCAAGGCTAGCGCTCTACCACTTGAGCCACAGTGCCACTTCTGGCTTTTTCTGCTTATGTGGTACTGAGGAATCGAACCCAGGGCTTCATGCACTGAGCCACCTTCCCAGCCCCGTAAGTTGAACATTATAATTGTAACAATGCTTTTCATCCATCTAGTCCACAGAAGACCATAGGTCAGGAGCATAGCTTGAAGAGTGAGGACATAGTTGAGCTGAGCACTGTAAGGAAGGATGGTGCTAGCCTTGGAGCAAAACCAAATTCCAGATCTCAAGTATGGTTTCTACTGGATTTGTCTATCATTTATACACAATTGCTAACACACACACACACACACACACACACACACACACACACACACACTTCTGCCAGCCAGGTGCCAGTGGCTCACACCTGTTATCCTATCTACTCGGGAAGCTGAGATCTGAGGATCAAGGTTGAAGCCAGCCTGGGCAGGAAAGACCATGAGACTCTTATCTCCATTGAACCACTAAAAGCTGGAAATGGAGCTGTGGCTCAAGTGGAGAGTGCCAGCCTTGAGTGAAAAAAGCTCAGGGATAGTACCTAAGCCCTGAGTTTAGAATCTAGTACCAGCACCAAGATGATGATGATGATGATGATGATGATGATAATGATGATGATGATAAAAGAGAGAAAGACAAAAGGAAAATGAAAAAGGAGAGAAAAAAAAAAAGGAGGCTAGATTCCTGGCTATGTACCATAAGGGACAGCAGGCTCTCTGGCTGCATCATGCTGGGCCTGGCAGAGGGTATGAGAGGCCAAGATTACTCACCTAACTCGATACTCTCCACCACGTCCTCACACCTTGGTCCGTAGAAGAGGCTGGTACACTGGCACTTGAGCCCATCCCAGGAGCCGCCATTTTGGCAGATAATGAGAGCATTCTGACACCGATCTCCCGAGAAGCCCACAGGACATTCACACACGCCTCCAACCAACAGTCCTCCATTCATGCATTGAACTGAAAGAGACAAGATCCTGATCAGCCAGGTATGTGCGTGAGAATGAGTGCAAACAGTGCTCAAGAGGTAGAGCACCAGCCTTGAATGATAGAAAGCTCAGACTCAGTGCTGAGGCCTGGAGTTCAAGTCCAGGACCAGCATATATACACATATACAAAAAGATGACACAAAATGAAAAGACCCCTGGGCACCTATGATTGAGGTTGATGGTATTATATTGTGAAAAAAATGGAATTCACACTTATTGGGGGAGAAAGGAGAAAGCCCATGAAAATCTGAGAAAAATATAAAAGAAAGACACAGAGCTAATGACCTTATGACAGGAACAAAGGTAACACAGGAGAGACTTGCAGGGAATAGGAAAGAAGGAACAGGACAGAGAGATAGTTCCTAGGGATCTCACCTGCTAAGAAAATAAGTGTACCATTATCTAAGAAGAAAAACAAGAAAGGACTGGAAATAACAGTGAGTTAGACAATTCAGAAGTAGGTGATTACAAAAGATGGACAAAAAAAAACAAACAAATAGAAAAAGAGCAGTGGAAGAAAAGATCAGTAGAAAGCGCAAAAACATGGAACATAATACAAAAAGAAATGGAGATTAAACCAAATATTTTAAGAGGTGCTTACCTGGTGTGGGGGTTGGGAGAGTAGAGGTGATGATAGTGGTAGTAGCTGTGATTTAAAAAAAAAAGTACAAATGAAAAAAAAAAACAGAAAAAGAACATTGGAGGAAAAGATTAGGTAACACATACACACATGCACACACACACACACACACACACACACACACACACACACACACAGAAATGGAATGTCAAAAGAAATGGAGATTAAAGCAAATATGATTTAAACATACACTTACCCTGTGTGGTGGTTGGAAGCATGGAGGTGGTAACGCTGGTGGTGATAGTAGTGGTGGTGGCTGTGGTAACAGATGAAGTGGTTGTAGTCACAGGTGTGGAGGGAACAGTTGGAGTGCTGGGGGATGTGGTGGGTAAGAGAGAGGTGCTAGTGGCTGAAGAGGTAGCAATGATGGGTTGGGAAGAGGTACTGGATACAAGGGTAGTTGGAAGAGGAGTACTGAACGTAGAAGGGCTGCCTACATGGGGACTTGTGAAAGTCACAGTTGAAGGAGCTGAACTGCCCATGGAAGTGGTGGTTGGATGTGTGTTTGGGTGCACGGAAGAAGAGGAGTGTGTGCTAGACTCAGGTAAACTGGTCACAGGAGTGCTGGAGACCAAGGTGGTAGAGAAAGTCGTACTTCCGTAAGTAGGTGGAAACACAGGAGTGGTAGTAACCTGCATGGTTGAAGCTGAAGTGATTTCTGGAGTTATGGTCACAGGAGTGCTTGTGTCCTCTGGGGGGAGGGAGAATGAGGTGGTATAAGAAGTACTTGTCACTACTGTGCTTGACGACAGGCTTGTGGATGATGGAGTACTTCCTTCTTGTGGTGTGGAAACAGAGGTGGTGGTGACCTCCACAGTTGAAGATGAACTGACTTCAGGAGTTATAGTCACAGGTGTGGTTGTGTCCTCTGGGCTGAAGGGCAATGTGGTGACACCAGGAGTACTTGTCACTACTGTGCTTGAGGACACGGTGGTGGAAGATGGAGTACTTCCTTCTGGTGGTGTGGAAACAGGGGTGGTGATGACCTCCACAGAAGAAGATGAAGTGATTTCAGGAGTTGTACTAACAGGTGTGGTTTTAGCCTCAGTGGTGAGGGGCAAAGTGGTGATAGCAGAAGGACTGGTCACTGATGTGCTTGCAGACAGAGTGGTGGATGATGGAGTACTTCCTTCTGGTGGTGCGGAAACATTGGTGGTGGTGACCTCCGCAGGAGAAGATGAAGTGATTCCAGGAGTTAGACTCACTGGTGTGGTTGTGTCCTCAGTGGTGAGAGGCAAGGTGGTGACATCAGGAGGACTGGTCACTGATGTGCTTGAGGACAGTGTGGTGGATGATGGAGTACTTCCTTCTAGTGGGGTAGAAAGAGTGGTGGTGGTGACCTCCACAGTTGAAGATGAACTGATTTCTGAGGTTGTAGTCAAAGGTGTGGTTGTGGCCTTTGGAGTGGGAGGCAAGGTGGTGACACCAGAAGGACTGGTCACTGTTGTGCTGGGAACTAAGGTGGTGGATGATGGAGAACTTCCTTCTGGTGGTGTGGAAACAGGAGTGGTGGTGACCTCCACAGAAGAAGATGAAGTGATTTCAGGAGTTGTACTAACAGGTGTGGTTGTGGCCTCAGTGGTGAGGGGCAAGGTGGTGATATCAATAGTACTGGTCAATGATGTGCTTGTGGACAGGGTCGGGGATGATAGAGAACTTCCTTCTGGTTGGGTAGAAGCAGTGGTGGTGGTGACCTCCACAATTGAAGATGAAGTGACTTCTGGGGTTGTGGTCAAAGGTGTGGTTGTGGCCCCGGAAGTGGGAGGCAAGGTGGTGACATCAGGAGGCCTGGTCACTGTCGTGCTGGCAACTAAGGTGGTAGATGATAGAGAACTTTCTTCCAGTGGTGTGGAAACAGAGGTAGTCGTGACCTCCGCTGTTGAAGATGAACTGACTTCAGGAGTTATAGTCACAGGTGTCGTTGTGTCCTCTGGGTTAAGGGGCAATGTGGTGACACCAGGAGTACTTGTCACTACTGTGCTTGAGGACAAGGTGGTAGAAGATAGAGTAACTCCATCTGGTGGTGTGGAAACAGGGGTGGTGGTGACCTCCACAGGAGAAGATGAAGTCATTTTAAGGGTTGTACTCACAGGTGTGGTTGTGTCCTCAGTGGTGAGAGGCAAGGTGGTGACATCAGGAGGACTGGTCACCGATGTGCTTTCAGACAGGGTGGTGGATGATGGAGTAGCTCCTTCTGGTGGGGTAGAAACAGTGGGGGTGGTGACCTCCACAGTTGAAGATGAACTGATTTCTGAGGTTGTAGTCATAGGTGTGGTTGTGGCCTCTGGAGTGGGAGACAAGGTGGTGACACCAGAAGGACTGGTCACTGTCATACTGGGAACTAACGTGGTGGATGATGGAGAACTTCCTTCTGGTGGTGTGGAAACAGGAGTGGTGGTGACCTCCACAGAAGAAGATGAAGTGATTTCAGGAGTTGTACTAACAGGTGTGGTTGTGGCCTCAGTGGAGAGGGGCAAGGTGGTGATATCAGGAGATGTGGTCACTGATGTGCTTGAGGACAGTGTTGTGGATGATGGAGTACTTCCTTCTGGTTGGGTGGAAACAGTGGTGGTGGTGACCTCCACAGTTGAAGATGAACTGACTTCTGGGGTTGTAGTCAAAGGTGTGGTTGTGGCCTCAGTGGTGAGGGGCAAGGTGGTGACATCAGGAGGACTGGTCACCGATGTGCTTTCAGACAGGGTGGTGGATGATGGAGTAGCTCCTTCTGGTGGTGTGGAAACAGGGGTGGTGGTGATCTCCACAGGAGAAGATGAACTGATTTCTGAGGTTGTAGTCAAAGGTGTGGTTGTAGGCTGTGGAGTGGGAGACAAGGTGGTGACACCAGAAGGACTGGTCACTGTCGTGCTGGGAACTAACGTGGTGGATGATGGAGAACTTCCTTCTGGTGGTGTGGAAACTGGAGTGGTGGTGACCTCCACAGGAGAAGATGAAGTGATTTCAGGAGTTGTACTCACAGGTGTGGTTGTTGCCTCAGTGGTGAGAGGCAAGGTGGTGATATCAGGAGTACTGATCAATGATGTGCTTGAGAACAGTGTTGTGGATGATGGAGTACTTCCTTCTAGTGGGGTAGAAAGAGTGGTGGTGGTGACCTCCACTGTTGAAGATGAACTGACTTGTGGGGTTGTAGTCAAAAGTGTGGTTGTGGCCACTGGAGTGGGAGACAAGGTGTTGGCACCAGAAGGACTGGTCACTGTTGTGCTGGGAACTAAGGTGGTGGATGATGGAGAACTTCCTTCTGGTGGTGTGGAAATAGGAGTGGTGGTGACCTCCACTGTTGAAGATGAACTGACTTGTGGGGTTGTAGTCAAAGGTGTGGTTGTGGCCTCAGTGGTGAGGGTCAAGGTGGTGATATCAGGAGGCCTGGTCACCCATGTGCTTGCGGAGAGGGTTGGGGATGATGGAGTACTTCCTTCTGGTGGTGTGGAAACAGTGGTGGTGGTGACCTCCACAGTTGAAGATGAACTGATTTCTGGGGTTGTAGTCAAAGGTGTGTTTTTGACTCCAGAAGTAGGAGATAAGGTGGTGACATCAGGAGGACTGGTCACTGTTGTGCTAGAAACCAAGGTGGTAGATGATAGCGAACTTTCTTCCGGTGTTGTGGAAACAGAGGTGGTCATGACCTCCAGTGTTGAAGATGAACTGACTTCAGGAGTTATAGTCAGAGGTGTGGATGTGTCCTCTGGGTTGAGGGGCAATGTGGTGACACCAGGAGTACTTGTCACTACTGTGCTTGAGGACTCGGTGGTTGAAGATGGAGTAGCTCCATCAGGTGGTGTGGAAACAGGGGTGGTGGTGACCTCCACAGGAGAAGATGAAGTCATTTTAAGGGTTGTACTCACAGGTGTGGTTGTGTCCTCAGTGGTGAGAGGCAAGGTGGTAATATCAGGAGGACTGGTCACTGATATGGTTGCGGACAGGGTGGTGGATGATGGAGTACTTCCTTCTGGTGGTGTGGAAACAGGGGTGGTAGTGACCTCCACAGGAGAAGATGAACTGATTTCTGAGGTTGTACTCACAGGTGTGGTTGTGGCCTCTGGAGTGGAAGGCAAGGTGCTGACACCAGAAGGACTGGTCACTGTCGTGCTGGGAACTAAGGTGGTGGATGATGGAGTACTGCCTTCTGGTGGTGTGGAAACAGTGGTGGTGGTGACCTCCACAGGAGAAGATGAAGTGATTTCAGGAGTTGTACTCACAGGTGTGGTTGTGGCCTCAGTGGTGAGGGGCAAGGTGGTGATATCAGGAGGACTGGTAACCGATGTGCTTGTGGACAGGGTTGGGGATGATGGAGTACTTCCTTCTGGTGGTGTGGAAACAGGGGTGGTGGTGACCTCCACAGTTGAAGATGAACTGATTTCTGAGGTTGTAGTCAAAGGTGTGGTTGTGGCCACTGGAGTGGGAGACAAGGTGTTAACACCAGAAGGACTGGTCACTGTTGTGCTGGGAACTAAGGTGGTGGATGATGGAGAACTTCCTTCTGGTGGTGTGGAAACAGGAGTGGTGGTGACCTCCACAGGAGAAGATGAAGTGATTTCAGGAGTTGTACTCACAGGTGTGGTTGTGGCCTCTGGAGTGGAAGACAAGGTGGTGACACCAGAAGGACTGGTCACTGTCGTGCTGGGAACTAAGGTGGTGGATGATGGAGTACTGCCTTCTGGTGGTGTGGAAACAGTGCTGGTGGTGACCTCCACCGGAGAAGATGAAGTGATTTCAGGAGTTGTACTCACAGGTGTGGTTGTGGCCTCAGTGGTGAGGGGCAAGGTGGTGATATCAGGAGGACTGATCACTGATGTGCTTGAGGACAGTGTTGTGGATGATGGAGTACTTCCTTCTGGTTGGGTAGAAACAGTGGTGGTGGTGACCTCCACAATTGAAGATGAACTGACTTCTTGGGTTGTAGTTAAAGGTGTGGTTGTCGCCTCAGTGGTGAGAGGCAATGTGGTGATATCAGGAGTACTGGTCAATGATGTGCTTGAGAACAGTGTTGTGGATGATGGAGAACTTCCTTCTGGTTCGGTAGAAACAGTGGTGGTGGTGACCTCCACAGTTGAAGATGAACTGACTAGTGGGGTTGTAGTCAAAGGTGTGGTTGTGGCCTCTGGAGTGGAAGGCAAGGTGGTGACACCAGAAGGACTGGTCACTGTCGTGCTGGGAACTAAGGTGGTGGATGATGGAGAACTTCCTTCTGGTGGTGTGGAAACTGGAGTGGTGGTGACCTCCACAGTTGAAGATGAACTGACTTGTGGGGTTGTAGTCAAAGGTGTGGTTGTGGCCTCAGTGGTGAGGGGCAAGTTGGTGATATCAGGAGGACTGGTAACCGATGTGCTTGTGGACAGGGTTGGGGATGATGGAGTACTTCCTTCTGGTGGTGTGGAAACAGGGGTGGTGGTCACCTCCACAGTTGAAGATAAACTGATTTCTGAGGTTGTAGTCAAAGGTGTGGTTGTGGCCACTGGAGTGGGAGACAAGGTGTTAACACCAGAAGGACTGGTCACTGTTGTGCTGGGAACTAAGGTGGTGGATGATGGAGAACTTCCTTCTGGTGGTGTGGAAACAGGAGTGGTGGTGACCTCCACAGAAGAAGATGAAGTGATTTCAGGAGTTGTACTAACAGGTGTGGTTGTGGCCTCAGTGGTGAGGGGCAAGGTGGTGATATCAATAGTACTGGTCAATGATGTGCTTGTGGACAGGGTCGGGGATGATAGAGTACTTCCTTCTGGTTGGGTAGAAGCAGTGGTGGTGGTGACCTCCACAATTGAAGATGAAGTGACTTCTGGGGTTGTGGTCAAAGGTGTGGTTGTGGCCCCGGAAGTGGGAGGCAAGGTGGTGACATCAGGAGGCCTAGTCACTGTCGTGTTGGCAACTAAGGTGGTAGATGATAGAGAACTTTCTTCCAGTGGTGTGGAAACAGAGGTGGTCATGACCTCCACTGTTGAAGATAAACTGATTTCAGGAGTTATAGTCAAAGGTGTCGTTGTGTCCTCTGGGTTAAGGGGCAATGTGGTGACACCAGGAGTTCTTGTCACTACTGTGCTTGAGGACAAGGTGGTAGAAGATAGAGTAGCTCCATCTGGTGGTGTGGAAACAGGGGTGGTGGTGACCTCCACAGGAGAAGATGAAGTCATTTTAAGGGTTGTACTCACAGGTGTGGTTGTGTCCTCAGTGGTGAGAGGCAAGGTGGTGACATCAGGAGGACTGGTCACCGATGTGCTTTCAGACAGGGTGGTGGATGATGGAGTAGCTCCTTCTGGTGGGGTAGAAACAGTGGGGGTGGTGACCTCCACAGTTGAAGATGAACTGATTTCTGAGGCTGTAGTCATAGGTGTGGTTGTGGCCTCTGGAGTGGGAGACAAGGTGGTGACACCAGAAGGACTGGTCACTGTCATACTGGGAACTAACGTGGTGGATGATGGAGAACTTCCTTCTGGTGGTGTGGAAACAGGAGTGGTGGTGACCTCCACAGAAGAAGATGAAGTGATTTCAGGAGTTGTACTAACAGGTGTGGTTGTGGCCTCAGTGGAGAGGGGCAAGGTGGTGATATCAGGAGTTGTGGTCACTGATGTGCTTGAGGACAGTGTTGTGGATGATGGAGTACTTCCTTCTGGTTGGGTAGAAACAGTGGTGGTGGTGACCTCCACAGTAGAAGATGAACTGACTTCTGGGGTTGTAGTCAAAGGTGTGGTTGTGGCCTCAGTGGTGAGGGGCAAGGTGGTGACATCAGGAGGACTGGTCACCGATGTGCTTTCAGACAGGGTGGTGGATGATGGAGTAGCTCCTTCTGGTGGTGTGGAAACAGGGGTGGTGGTGATCTCCACAGGAGAAGATGAACTGATTTCTGAGGTTGTAGTCAAAGGTGTGGTTGTAGGCTGTGGAGTGGGAGACAAGGTGGTGACACCAGAAGGACTGGTCACTGTCGTGCTGGGAACTAACGTGGTGGATGATGGAGAACTTCCTTCTGGTGGTGTGGAAACTGGAGTGGTGGTGACCTCCACAGGAGAAGATGAAGTGATTTCAGGAGTTGTACTCACAGGTGTGGTTGTTGCCTCAGTGGTGAGAGGCAAGGTGGTGATATCAGGAGTACTGATCAATGATGTGCTTGAGAACAGTGTTGTGGATGATGGAGTACTTCCTTCTAGTGGGGTAGAAACAGTAGTGGTGGTAACCTCCACTGTTGAAGATGAACTGACTTGTGGGGTTGTAGTCAAAGGTGTGGTTGTGGCCTCAGTCGTGAGGGTCAAGGTGGTGATATCAGGAGGCCTGGTCACCCATGTGCTTGCGGAGAGGGTTGGGGATGATGGAGTACTTCCTTCTGGTGGTGTGGAAACAGTGGTGGTGGTGACCTCCACAGTTGAAGATGAACTGATTTCTGGGGTTGTAGTCAAAGGTGTGTTTTTGACTCCAGAAGTAGGAGATAAGGTGGTGACATCAGGAGGACTGGTCACTGTTGTGCTAGAAACCAAGGTGGTAGATGATAGCGAACTTTCTTCCGGTGTTGTGGAAACAGAGGTGGTCATGACCTCCAGTGTTGAAGATGAACTGACTTCAGGAGTTATAGTCAGAGGTGTGGATGTGTCCTCTGGGTTGAGGGGCAATGTGGTGACACCAGGAGTACTTGTCACTACTGTGCTTGAGGACTCGGTGGTTGAAGATGGAGTAGCTCCATCTGGTGGTGTGGAAACAGGGGTGGTGGTGACCTCCACAGGAGAAGATGAAGTGATTTCAGGAGTTGTACTCACAGGTGTGGTTGTGGCCTCAGTGGTGAGGGGCAAGGTGGTGATATCAGGAGGACTGGTAACCGATGTGCTTGTGGACAGGGTTGGGGATGATGGAGTACTTCCTTCTGGTGGTGTGGAAACAGGGGTGGTGGTGACCTCCACAGTTGAAGATGAACTGATTTCTGAGGTTGTAGTCAAAGGTGTGGTTGTGGCCACTGGAGTGGGAGACAAGGTGTTAACACCAGAAGGACTGGTCACTGTTGTGCTGGGAACTAAGGTGGTGGATGATGGAGAACTTCCTTCTGGTGGTGTGGAAACAGGAGTGGTGGTGACCTCCACAGGAGAAGATGAAGTGATTTCAGGAGTTGTACTCACAGGTGTGGTTGTGGCCTCAGTGGTGAGAGGCAAGGTGGTGATTTCAGGAGTTGTGGTCACTGATGTGCTTGCAGACAGAGTGGTGGATGATGGAGTACTTCCTTCTGGTGGTGTGGAAACATTGGTGGTGGTGACCTCCGCAGGAGAAGATGAAGTGATTCCAGGAGTTAGACTCACAGGTGTGGTTGTGTCCTCAGTGGTGAGAGGCAAGGTGGTGACATCAGGAGGACTGGTCACTGATGTGCTTGAGGACAGTGTTGTGGATGATGGAGTACTTCCTTCTAGTGGGGTAGAAAGAGTGGTGGTGGTGACCTCCACAGTTGAAGATGAACTGATTTCTGAGGTTGTAGTCAAAGGTGTGGTTGTGGCCTTTGGAGTGGGAGGCAAGGTGGTGACACCAGAAGGACTGGTCACTGTTGTGCTGGGAACTAACGTGGTGGATGATGGAGAACTTCCTTCTGGTGGTGTGGAAACTGGAGTGGTGGTGACCTCCACAGGAGAAGATGAAGTGATTTCAGGAGTTGTACTCACAGGTGTGGTTGTTGCCTCAGTGGTGAGAGGCAAGGTGGTGATATCAGGAGTACTGATCAATGATGTGCTTGAGAACAGTGTTGTGGATGATGGAGTACTTCCTTCTAGTGGGGTAGAAAGAGTGGTGGTGGTGACCTCCACTGTTGAAGATGAACTGACTTGTGGGGTTGTAGTCAAAAGTGTGGTTGTGGCCACTGGAGTGGGAGACAAGGTGTTGGCACCAGAAGGACTGGTCACTGTTGTGCTGGGAACTAAGGTGGTGGATGATGGAGAACTTCCTTCTGGTGGTGTGGAAACAGGAGTGGTGGTGATCTCCACAGGAGAAGATGAAGTGATTTCAGGAGTTGTACTAACAAGTGTGGTTGTGGCCTCAGTGGTGAGGGGCAAGGTGGTGATACTAGGAGGACTGGTCACTGTCATGCTGGGAACTAAGGTGGTGGATGATGGAGTACTGCCTTCTGGTGGTATGGAAACAGGTGTGGTGGTGATCTCCACAGGAGAAAATGAAGTGATTTCAGGAGTTGTACTCACAGGTGTGGTCGTGACCTCAGTGGTGAGGGGCACGGTGGTGATATCAGGAGGACTGATCACTGATGTGCTTGAGGCCAGGGTTGTGGCTGATGGAGTACTTCCTTCCGTTTGGGTAGAAACAGTGGAAGTAGTTGAAGATGAACTGACTTGTGGGGTTGTAGTCAAAGGTGTGGTTTTGACCCCAGAAGTCGGAGATAAGGTGGTGACATCAGGAGGACTGGTCACTGTTGTGCTAGAAACCACGGTGGTAGATGATAGCGAACTTTCTGCTGGTGGTGTGGAAACAGAGGTGGTCATGACCTCCACTGTTGAAGATGAACTGACTTCAGGAGTTATAGTCAGAGGTGTAGTTGTGTCCTCTGTGTTGAGGGGCAATGTGGTGACACCAGGAGTACTTGTCACTACTGTGCTCCCAGAAAGGGTCAAGGATGATGGAGAACTTCCTTCTGGTGGTGTGGAAACAGAGGTGGTGGTGACCTCCACAGTTGAAGATGAACTGACTTGTGAGGTTGTAGTCAAAGGTGTGGTTGTGACCTCAGTGGTGAGGGGCAAGGTGGTGAAATCAGGAGGACTGGTCACCGATGTGCTTTCAGACAGGGTGGTGGATGATGGAGTAGCTCCTTCTGGTGGTGTGGAAACAGGGGTGGTGGTGCCCTCCACAGGAGAAGATGAACTGATTTCTGAGGTTGTAGTCAAAGGTGTGGTTGTGGCCTCTGGAGTGGGAGACAAGGTGGTGACACCAGAAGGACTGTTCACTGTCATGCTGGGAACTAACGTGGTGGATGATGGAGAACTTCCTTCTGGTGGTGTGGAAACAGGGGTGGTGGTGCCCTCCACAGGAGAAGATGAAGTGATTTCAGGAGTTGTACTCACAGGTGTGGTTGTGGCCTCTGGAGTGGAAGGCAAGGTGTTGACACCAGAAGGACTGGTCACTGTCGTGCTGGGAACTAAGGTGGTGGATGATGCAGTACTGCCTTCCGTTTGGGTAGAAACAGTGGTGGTGGTGACCTCCACAGTTGAAGATGGACTGACTTCTGGGGTTGTAGTCAAAGGTGTGGTTGTGACCCCGGAAGTAGGAAATAAGGTGGTGACATCAGGAGGACTGGTCCCTGTTGTGCTAGAAACCAAGGTGGTAGATGATAGAGAACTTTCTTCTGGTGGTGTGGAAACAGAGGTGGTCATGACCTCCACTGTTGAAGATGAACTGACTTCAGGAGTTATAGTCACAGGTGTGGTTTTGTCCTCTGGCTTGAGGGCCAATGTGGTGACACTAGGAGTACTTGTCACTACTGTGCTTGAGAACAGGGTGGTGGATGATGGAGAACTTCCTTCTGGTGGTGTGGAAACAGGTGTGGTGGTGACCGCCACAGGAGAAGTCGAAGTGATTTCAGGAGTTGTACTCACAGGTGTGGTTGTAGCCTCAGTGGAGAGGGGCAAGGTGGTGACATCAGGAGGACTGGTCACTGATGTGCTTGAGGACAGTGTAGTGGATGATGGAGTACTCCCTTCTGGTTGGTTAGAAACAGTAGTGGTGGTGACCTCCACCATTGAAGATGAACTGACTTGTGGGGTTGTAGTCAAAGGTGTGGTTGTGGGACCGGATGTGGAAGGCAAGGTGGTGACATCAGGAGGTCTGGTCACTGTCGTGCTGGAAACTAAGGTGATAGATGATAGAGAACTGTCTTCCGGTGGTGTAGAAACAGAGGTGGTGGTGACCTCCATAGGAGAAGATGAAGTGATTTCAGGAGTTGTACTCACAGGTGTGGTTGTGTCCTCAGTGCTGAGGGGCAAGGTGGTGATATCAGGAGACTTGGTCACCAATGTGCTTGTGGGCAGGGTCATGGATGATGGAGTACTCCCTTCTGGTTGGTTAGAAACAGTGGTGGTGGTGACCTCCACAATTGAAGATGAGCTGACCTTTGGTGTTGTAGTCAAAATAGTGGTTCCTGGAGTAGGAGGCGAGGTAGGGACATCAGAAGGACTGCTCACCTTCGTGTTGGACACCAAGTTCGGTGATGATGGATTATTTCCTTCTGTTGTATTGGGAACAGGTGTAGTATTGACCTCCATAGTTGAAGATGAACTGACTTCAGGATTTGCTGTCACAGGTGTGGTTGTTTTCTGTGTACTCAGCAGGGATGTGATGGAATTGGTAGAACTGGTCTCATCATCCCTGGAGATCAGTGCGGCTGATGAATGATTCCTTCCTTCTGTAGTGGAAGAATCAGCAGATTGAGTGCCTTGCTCAAAGAATGTTGTGCCCTGACATCTAGTGATGCAGTTTCATCTTGTGAACATGGGAATTTTCATCGTGGGCTGGGGAAGTGCTGCCTAGCTGTGCTGTTGTTGTTTGTTTTGTTTGTTGGTTTTGGCACTTGAACTCTGGGCCTGAGCCCTGTCCCTCAGCTCTTCAGCTCAAGGTGAGTGCTCTACCACTTAAGCCACAGTGCCACCTCTAGTTTTCTGGTGGTTTATTGGAGATACGTATCTCACAGACTTTCCTGACCAGGCTGGCTTTGAATCACGATCCTCAGATCTCAGCCTCCTGAGTTGCTAGGATTACAGGCGTGAGCCACCAGTGCCAGGCTGAAATCTGCACTTTGCCTCCCCCCACCATTCTGCCATTCTCAGTGCCAGGGTGTCAGCAAAGAATGGAACTGACTGATACATCATCCACTCTCCTGTCCTGAGATCGAGTTTACGTGTCAAGTTGTTCTTGTAGGCTACACATTTCCTCAGAGAAGTGATGTGTTTGGATCCTTTCTCTAATCGCACAGTAATGCATCATCTCCTTTGCTTTTCCTCCTCCTGCCCTTCCTGCTAAAAGGGCTAAGGTGTTGAAATCCAGCTGTGTCTGGATCCTTTCCTTGTCCATGAAAGGTCCTCACTTAGCTTCAAGCCCAGCCAAGAAGCCTGTGAAGTCTGGCATGCTTTGGGTTGAAGGAGAGACCCTTTCCTGTGCAAAGGTGGGCACTCTGCTCTGTCCAGGGCTGTATGGTGATTTACTATCATTCACAGGCCATATAAAATGGCAGATGGCTGTGGGTGGCCAACAAGAAGTATGCCAGAAGGGTATAGGTGTCTTTTTCTGTCATGTGGCAATTTTTTAAAGGCTTTTAAAAAATTCTCTCTCTCTCTCTCTCTCTATCTATCTATATATATGTAGTAAAGATGGTATACAGTGGGGTTACAGTTACATAAATCAAGTAATGAGTACATTTCTTTTCAGCCAATGTCACCTCTTCCCTCACTCTCTCCCAATTTTTCCCATCCACAAGCTGTATAGTTCATTTTCAACCTAAGAGTCTAGTGAGTACCACTGCTGCATTTGCTCACCCTTTGTCCCATCCTTTCTATGCCTTGCCTTACCCTCCCAAAGACAGATTAACAAACAAGACAAAAGGTAAAGAAAACAAAAACAGGGGTCTGGGAAGGTGGCTCAGTGGTAGAGCGCTTGCCTTGTATGCTTAAGGCCCTGGGTTCAATTCCTCAGCACCACATAAGCAGAAAAATAAAGCCGGAAGTGGCACTGTGGCTCAAGTGGTAGAGCGCTAGCCTTGAGCTGAAGAGCTGAGGGACAGCAACCAGGCCCAGAGTTCAGGCCCCACGACTGGACCCCCCCCCCCAAAAAAAAAAAGAAAACAAAAACAGCAACAACTCAATTTCTTGGAGTTCATTTTAATAAATATTATTTTATAGCATCCAATTCACATAACTATTGAGCTTTTGTGATCTTCTCCTAAGAAGCGTAGATCACAAACAAGGCTACACTAAAGCTACCAGTACCACCATGCAGCATTGTTTACCCAGATGCCCCTCAGTGGACAAATGGATCAAGAAAACCTGATATATATATACACATATCTATATCTATACATATATACAATGGAATTCTACTCATACACCAGAGAGAATGATACTGTACCATCCATAAGGAAATGAAAAGTCTTGGAAAAAATTATGTTAAGCATAGTAAGCCAGACCCAAAGAAACATAGTTGTATGGTTTCCCTCATTTGTGGTAAGTAGAATATGCCTATAAGTCTACAAGCAAACATACTAGGACATGACAATTAGATAGTTTCTAGGCATTCACACAGAGTGAGACCAGAGGATTTTACAGGCTTTCCCTGGCCTTCAGGCTGACCATCCCCACCACTGGCTGAGTGAAATTGTCTTACCTGTCCTGCGAGCCGGGGGTGCACTGGGGCACCCTGAGGCCAAGGACTCCTGGGAGATGCAACCTCCTCCATCCCATACCCCACGGCTGTTGCTGAGATCTGAAAGAGAGAAAGGGCAGCTGATCTCCTGAGGTCACAATCCTCCTTTCCTTCCTGGGCCCTGCCTTTTCCTCAGGAGGCTGAGCTCTGAGGATCAAGGTTCAAAGCCTGCCTGGGCAGGAAAGCCCATGAGAACTCCATCTCCAAATTAACCAACAAAAAGCCAGACTGGGTATATGGCTCAAGTGGCAGAGCACCAGCCAGGCAAGTAAATTAAGTGACCACAAGACCCTGAGTTAAAATTCCAGTATTGTAAATATACACACAGTGTGTATATATACACACATACGTATGTGTGTATACATGCACAGAAAGCATAGGGAAATTCTTCAAGATGGATGGCAAAGGTGATGAATTCCTGAAGGACTCTGTATCCTAAGCTCAGGAAAGAAGAGCAAGAATTTTTCAAATGAGCTTACACTGAATTAAAGTTCTACACAGTGTGTCAGGTGCTGGTGTCTCACACTTGTCATGCTAGCTACCCAGGAGGTTAGGATCCAAGAATCATGGTTCAAAGCCAGCCCAGGCAGGAAAGTCCATGAGACTGTCATCTCCAACTAACCACCAAAAAGCTGGAAATGACATTAGGGGTCCAAGTGGTAGGGCACTAGCCTGGAGGACAAAAAGCTCAGGGACAGCTCCCAGGACCTGAGTTCAAGCTCCAGGACTGGCACACACAAAAAAAGATAGGCCAAAAGGCTTGGCCTGGCAGCAGGGCTTCCTGAACCAGCCCTCCCTGGTCTCCACTTCCTTCTGTACTGAAATAGAGGAGCCCAGGGGCTCATGGTCAGCATCTCCTCCCCAAGGCACTTGACCCCTACTGCCCCCTGGGGTAGGAAGGAAGCTCTACTGTGTAGATATGAGGGCTCAGATGAGAGAAGGGACCAGGCCCTGGACAGGCTGAGACCACTGGGCATGACACATTCTCAGGTCTCAGTGTCCATTGGCAGGGTTTTGTATGGGTAGTCATTTGTTTGTTGGTTGGTTTTATTAGTGTCAAGGGTAGAAGAAGCTGTACAGAAACACAGGGAGCTGGGAAGGTGGTTCAGTGGTAGAGCGCTTGCCTTGCATGAATGAGGCCTTGGGTTCCATTCCTCAGCAGCACATAAGCAGAAAAAGCCAGAAGTGGCGCTGTGGCTCAAGTGGTAGAGCGCTAGCCTGGAGCTGAAGAGCTGATGGACAGCGCCCAGGCCCAGAGTTCAGGCCCCATGACCAAAAAAAAAAAAAAAAAAGAAACAACATAGGCATTATGGAGAGAGGGGGGAGACAGAAGAAGAGAAGAGAAAAAAGAAAGGAAGGAAGGAAAGAAGGAAGGAAGGAAGGAAGGAAATGATGGGCCAGGCGCCAGTAGCTCATGCCTGTAATCCTAGCTACTCAGGAAGCTGAGATCTGAGGATCACAGTTCAAAGTCAGCCTGGGCAGGAAAGTCCGTGAGACTCTTATCTCCAATAAACCACTAGAAAACTGGATTGATTGCTGGGATTACAGAAGTGAGTCACTGTGCCCACAGGTCAACGGAAATGATTAACACGGGCCCTAGGCTGAGGTGACATATCCATAGAAAGTGGAACCAGTTAAACACAGACATGTACACAAGAGGACATGCCATGGGAAGAGAAAGACAGAGATCAGGCTAATAGACGTACAAGCTAAGACGCACTATGTGTCCCCAGTAGCCACTACAGGCTGCGACAGACCCTTTACAGTAACCCTTATCCCAGAACTGTGACCAGATACATTCCTTGGGTTCTAAGGCTCTGGCTTCCTTGTTCCAGCAGCCCCAGAGGCCAGATGGTTATAGAACTGAGGGAGGAATAAAATAACTCAGGCCGGGTGAGGAGACACATGCCGTGGACAGGTGACAGAGCCCAGGCTGAGTCACATTCGCTGGGGGGGAGGCTGCTGCCAGGGTTGGGCCAGCCCAGAGGATATTGTGTATAATTGATTTGTCATATATTCTGAGACATGAGATCAGGATGGGTGTCTTCTAGGAAGGGCCAGGCTGAAGCTACTATATTCCTTCTCCAGGCCCACACCCTGCCCTGGCACCCCGGGTCCAGTGGCCTCGAGAGCAGGTGAGGCTCTGGGTTCCTGGAAAGGAGACTACTCAAAGCCAGCTAGGAACCTAAAAGACCAGCTGATGCCAGGCTCAGAGAGGGTGGAGAGACTCCAGAGTCCTACTGAGCAAGAGCAGAGAGTCTGAAAACTTCCATTTGACAAGAGGGGACACACTGAGTCAGAGGGGACACACTGAGTCAGAGGGGACACACTGAGTCACAGCATGTGGGCACAGGTCAACAGGGGTCAAGGAAAAGGTGAGGGGGAGGAATTGCTGGGCATTGGTGGCTTACACCTGTCATTTTAGCTACTCCAGAGACTGAGATTGGAGGATTGTGGTTCAAAGCCAGCCCAGGCAGAAAAGTCTGTGAGATTCTTATCTCTAGTTAATCACCAGAAAAGCAGCAGAGGAGCTGTGGCTCAAAGTGGTAGAGCAAGGCTGGGAAGGTGGCTCGTGGTAGAGCACTTGCCTTGCATGCATGAGGCCCTGGGTTCGATTCCTCAGCACCACATAAACAGAAAAAGCCAGAAGTGGTGCTATCACTCAAGTGGTAGAGCGCTGGCCTTGAGCTGAAGAGCTGAGGGACAGCGTCCAGGCCCAGAGTTCAGACCCCATGACTGACAAAAAAAAAAAAAAAAAAAAAAAAAGAGGAGAAGAGAGCAGAGGAGAGGGAACCCAGAAAGAGAAAAAGAAGTTGGGCCCTATAATCCTAGCTACTCAGGAGGCTGAGACCTGAGGATCATGGTTCAAAGCCATACTGGGTAGAAAAGCCTGTAAGACTCTTATCTCCAATGAGCCACCAAAAAGCCCTAAATAGAGCTGTGACTCAAGTGGTAGAGCATTAACCTTGAATAAAAGAAGCTCAGGGACAGTGGCAAGACCCTGAATTCAAGCCCTAGGGCCACACACACGCACACACACACACACACACATACAGAGAGTGTGTCAAGATGCTCTTCTCTTACTGAAGCCCTAGGGAGGTTTTCATGGCACTGTTAGAGGCTGTGAGGCTCCCACCAGTTTCTCTGGGAGTGGACCCCATATTCTCCGCCCAGACCTAGCTGCATACACAGAGTCACAGACTACTTTTGCCTCTAGCAGAGATATTACAAGGATGTCCCCTCTCCCGTGGGGGAGGTGGCTGGCAATAAACTGCTTTTCCTATGTGACTGTGTCCAAGTGGTCTTCTGGGACGGCTGCTTTCATTGGTACCGTCACTTGGATGATTCCCACCCCCCGCCCCGGCCCGCTATCCCCACACACATACACACTGTGAGTTTGCTCTCCCTGGCCCCCCTGGGAATTCAAGTTTCCCTGGGGATCTTGTGCCAGTCTCAGACCCACCCAGAGGACTGCCGAGGGGGTAACTTCTCCTCACTGAGTGCTCTACTTCCATCCACCACAACAGTGGCCGATTTGCCCCTCTTCCTAGGTGACCATTTACAGTAAGCTTGGGACTCAGAATCCTTTTCCATCAGGCTATTGGTCTGTGACAGGGAGAAATTTGGTACCAAGTGTTTTGTTTTTTGTTTTTTTGGGGGGGTCCGGTTGTAGGGTCTGAACTCTGGGCCTGGGCGCTGTCCCTCAGCTCTTCAGCTCAAGGCTAGCACTCTACCACTTGAGCCACAGCGCCACTTCCAGCTTTTTTTCTTTTTGCTTATGTGGTGCTAGGGAATCGAACCCAGGGCCTCATGCATGCAAGGCAAGCACTCTACCACTGAGCCACCTTCCCAGCCCCTGGCATCAAGTTTTGAGCTCTATTCCAGGGGCCTAGACCACCGGCCACAGGTCAAGGGATTCAACAATTGCGGGTGACGACCCCTCTTGCTCCCTGTTCCATGTTAGCTTAACAGAGTACTTCCTGGGGACGCTCATGGTAGCTCTAGTGTCAGCTCTGTTGATCACTCATCATGGGTGGGCACAGTCTAAAATTCCTCAGTACACAACCCCAAACCACTCAAGTCTGAGCCCAATTTTAAGCCTCACAAACATAAATGCTTATACAATCAAATTTGGCCCCAGATGGGCGCCGGTGGCTCACATCTGTAATCCTAGCTACTCAGGAAGCTGAGATCTGAGGGTCAAGGTTCAAAGCCAACCCTGGCAGGAAAGTCCATGAGACTCTTATCTCCAGTTAACCACCAGAAAGCCAGAAGTAACGCTGTGGCTTAAGTGGTAGAGCGCTGGCCTTGAGCTGAAGAGCTGAGGGACAGTGCCCTGGCCCCACAACCAAAACAAAAAAAAAGCTAGCCAAAGTCTAGTTAATTGCTCTGCCCCTCAGCTTAACTGTGGGTGAAGTCACAGATACTTTCCTTGTGGCAGGATAAAGGAAAGAAAAAAAAGGTCAGTTTTAAATTCAAACCGCAGAGGAGTTCATCAGATTTGGGTGCAAACAAATGTGTCTAAGAATTAATCCAAAACACACATTAAGGGGGGTGGGGGGAGGATGGGAAGGGATGGGAAGGGGAAACAAAGGAGGAGGCTACAATGCTTGATAAGTAATGTACTCATTGTCTTGCCCATGTAATTGTAGCCCCTCTGTACAGTATTTTCACAATAAAAAAAAAACACACAAATTAAGGATTTGGAAGGTAAAAATAGCCTTACAAACCCCAAAAGGTTCAAATATGTAGCAGACAGAGCTTATGAGTAAAGTTGGTATGTGATGAAGTTGGCTATAATTTAAATAAGATCAAGATTAATACACTAACGTAAAACCAGCATGTCATTCTTTATGTCCATCTATGCTATTAAGTTTGTCAAATTTTTAATATGTTTTCCAAGTATGTAAGCCACCTTGGATACAGAGCTGACAATAGTTTCTATCTTAAGTAGTATCCTAAAGTGCTATATTCAGTTAATCAGCTGGTGTTTTTAAAAACTCTCATCACATCTATTGAGTTTTGTCATTGCAAATTGCAGATTTTACTCTCTGTAATGGCCAGGCCCACAGAGAAATAACTCTGGTAAGTATCTGCTGGTCAACTCTTAACAAGTTACAGGTAAGCTCTGCTTATTATTTCCATTGGTCTCCTTGTGTTAATTGGAAGTAAAAGGGGGTTTTTGTGACAAAGATTCGTTTGATCTGAGGATTGCAGTTCAAAGCCAACCCGGAAAGACTCTCAGACTCTCTCTCTCAACTAACCAGCAAAGAGCCAGGCTAAAGGCATGGCTCAAGAGTCTCTTAGGTCTCATTAACCATCCAAATGCTGGAAGTAGCACTATGGCTGAAAGTGGTAGGGTACTAGTCTTGAACAGAAATGCTTCGGAACAGTGCTCAGGCCTTGAGTTCAAGATGCCAACTGGGACAAGCCATCCCAGCAATGAGCACCTAGACCCCCAGGAAGAGATCAGTCCTGACCATGAGGAATCATGGAGAGGAATAAGAGGGGATAATGTCACATTCTAAATGGAGTCACTTTGTGCTTGCCCTTTTTCAAAATTAACCAGACCTGGAAATCTCCAGCTAATGTCCATATCTGTCTACCTTCTAACTGGACAGGACTTACATTCTTCCCTTCGTTACTTGTTATTCGTATTTGTTACTTGCTATTTGTATTTATAGTAAGTCTTAGACTCATGACAGTTAGCCTTGTCAGATCCTGGGTTTCCCATACATACTCTATAATCCCTCCAGGATACGGGGACTCAGGTACCATGCTATGTCTCCAAGATGGAGAAGGTAATGTCAAGTCTTTGATAACCCCTTTGGGGGATCAGTCACTCCCTGGCCTATGCCTCTCTTGGGTCCACTAGCAGCAACTTTTTTTGCCTTTAATTAATTGTGCCTTGCATTTTAGATACCTACAAAATATTCTCACAAAAAATTCTCACCCTTAGCAACCAAACTGTCAACCAAAAAGCTTCTAGAAGGGTACCTGGTGGAATGACAAATCAGGGACCTGTGACTACTTCCCCCCTTTACAGCAGGAAGTAGCTCTAGCTCTAGAAGAAGTGACCTCTGCCCACAGGTACCCGTACTTATTAAACAACAAAGAAGGGAAGGTTAGCAGCACTTATCTCTAGCCCCAAGCTGCCTCAGTGGAACTCCCTCCACCCAGACCTGAACTCCACTCTACCCTTCACAAAGAGAGAACTCTCCCTGGGGCTCCTGCCAGTTTCTCTGGGATCGGTCCACGTACTCTCTGCCCAGATCTAGCTGTGCACACAGAGTACCTCTTGCCTCTAGCCCCAAGGTTATAAGGATGCCCCTGAATAGGGAGAGGCACGATTTCTCCCTCTCCATGGGGGAGGTGGCCTTATTAGCCTTGGCTGGCAATAAACTGCTTTTCCTGTGTGTGACTGTGTCTGCGTGGTCTTCTGGGATGGGTGCATTCAGAGGCCCCAGTCAAGAATGATGCTTCTAGATCCCATATTCTTAGAGCGCAGTTATGGAGGGTGATGGCCCGTGGCCAGGAGCTCCCGCCTTTCCTGGCAAAGCAAGCACAGGGCCAGGCAAAGTCCAGATGGGATGTGCTGAGATGTCACCTCAGGAATGGCTGGAGGTAGCTCATCTTGGGACAAAGGCCCCTTTCTTTCCACCCAGCCCTTTCCAAGGTGACATCTCAGGGCCTGAGGAAGAGAGGGCCTGGGGACAGGTGAGGGACAGGAGGAGCTTCTGGAGGGGTCCAGTTGTTGGAGTCCCTTGGCATCTCTTCTACGTGGAGCCCTGTCTCCACAGCCGGGCTCCTGAAGCAACTAAGGTGAAAAGATCCATAGACATCCCAGCCCTTGTCTTTTTAAGGGAAAAACTGAGGCTAGTGAGGAACAAGACAGCCCAATGGCACTCAGCTTGTTAGTGGAGGATTAGAATCTGAGGCTCCTCAGAAGTGGAGGTGTGGCTCGAGCCTTGAGCGACAGAACCAAGCAAGAGAGGGAGGTCCCTAGTTTCAAGCCCCAGTACTAGCAGACACACACAGGAAAAAAAAAAAAAAAGAGGGGGATGGGCTAGGAGGTGTGTTGGTGGCTCACGCCTGTAAGCCCAGCTACTTGGGAGGCTGAGATCTGAAGATTCTGGTTCAAAGCCAGCCAGGGCAGAAAAGTCTATAAGACTCTCATCTCTATTGAACCACCAAGAAGCCAGAAGTGGAGCTGAGACTCAAGTGGTAGAGAGCCAGCCTTGAGCATTAAAGCAAAGGGACAGCACCCAGACCCTGAGTTCAAGACCCAGTACCATCGCATGTGCACACGCACATGCCCGCGCGTGCGCGCACACACACACACACACACACACACACACACACACACACACACACACACAGAATCTGAGACTCCTGAAGTCCTGTCCTGGTCAGAGAGCTGCAACATGGTCTGAGGACCGGATCATGTTGAAATTGCCAGGACAAAAGAGTTTGAGGAGACAGAACTTGGAGGCTGGGGTCATACACTTCATAAGGAAGTCCCTGGGTTAATATTGGGAAGGGAGATGGGGGATTGGAGGGGAACACCCACTGGGTAAAGATGGCCTTGGTTGGCTGTGGGCTAGAGTATCTGGGGTGCGATGGGTGTGGGGGAGTGAGGGCTGGCTTTGCTTAACATTCCCACAAAGCAGATCCACTCTCACAGCTGGAAAGAAGTCTGGAGGCAGAGAAGAGCTTGAGGCTAGGCTCCAGGTGGGAAGCAAACGCATCCAGGTCCCTGGGGAGCAGGGAGACACCACCCCCACCCCCACCCCGGGGAGGGGCAGTCACTTACCCTTTTCCACAGCGTTACACTGAGGCAGGAGCTGGGGCACCAGAGCCAGCAGGCAGAGCGCTGCTGCCAGCAGCCTCGGCATTGAGGTACCGAAGCCTACACCCATCCTTCGCTGGCGCTCACAAAGTATCAGCCAGGGAACCTCAGAAATATAAGGCCCCAGAGACCTTTGGTCCCTGTGATACCACAGTTCTGGGGGCCAATCTGAACTAAGGCCAATCGGGGAGCTTCCTTTGTGACTAGGGGGTGTAGACCGAAGGGCGGTGGGAGGGGCTCCCCTCCCTGGCCAGACAGCACCCAGACATGTATATAACCAGAGCTGTCACCCCAATGGAGGAGCAGTGTAGGGCCCTGAGGCAGACAGGGAACAAGCCCAGGTAAAGAGGTGACCAGTCCAGCCCAGCCTGAGCCTGAGCAGGAGACCAAGACATTCTAATTGGTGTTTTGTGCCAGTCCTGGGGCTTGAACTCAAGACCTACGCTGTTCTTTAGCTTTTTCACTCAAGGCTAGCGCTTTACCACTTGAGCCACAGCTCCAGTTCTAGTTGTTTTTATTTTTTATTTTCTGGTCGGTTATGGGGCTTGAACTCTGGGCCTGGGCGCTGTCCCTCAGCTCTTCAGCTCGAAGCAAGTGCTCTACCACTTGAGCCACAGCGCCACTTCCAGTTTTCTGAGTGGTTTATTGGAGATAAGAGTCTCACGGACTTTCCTGTCTGGGCTGGCTTTGAACCAAGATCCTCTGATCTCAGCCTTCTGAGTAGCTAGGATGACAGGCGTGAGCCACCAGCGCCCAGCTTGTTTTTATAATTTTTTTTTTCTGGTTAATTGGAGATAAGAGTCTCATGGACTTTCCTGCCTGGTTGGCTTTGGACCTTGGTCTTCAGATCTCACCTTCCTGAGTGGCTAGGATGATAGATGTGAGCCACCAGCACCCTAGCTTTGATCACAGCTTCTGGGAAAGAGATCCCCTTCCTTGAGTCCTTCTCTGCTCCCTGCTCCTCACTCCCAGTATATGGGGTGTAGGTTGTGGGCACACCTGGGGCCAGTAACCAGCCTCAAGGGATCAGGCTTTATATATAAGGGAATCACGCTCTCCCATCCCCTTCCTCTAGCCACCCGGAGTGACCTTGTCTGCCTCCAAGGTCAGCCAAGCCAAGGGTTCACCCCCCCCCCCCCCCGGCCTTCTGGGAGGTCCCACGGACCTGATCTTGAGCTTGCGTGCTGTTCAACCACAGGCCGAGGAGGGCCGTCCCTGCCCTGCTGGGCCTGGCGAGAGCACATGTCCAGGCACAGGGGTGCCCTCCCCAACGCCTCTTCCAGCTCACCTCCCCAAGCCCCTTCAGGTAGTGGGGAAAGACAGCCTCTGAAGTCGCCTTGCTCTTTAAGAATTGCTTTTTATTGTAGGAACGTTGCAGTCACCCACAGTCCCCCAGAGCCAACCAGGATGTGGGGCGCCTTCTGCCCCTGGATGGAGGGGCGAGGCTGGGGCGCGGCGACCCCCACCCCTTCTTCAGCAGGGCCCACCAGCCAGACACATCACTGCCCAGTGAGACTGTAGGACCTCCACGCCTGGCACCCAGCTTCTGGGGGTGCCCCTGGGGGTGCTCTGCCACTTGTGGTCCACACCTGGAGCTCTGGGCCTTAGAGGCTGGCTTTTACCACTTTCGGCCTTTGAATGTGGACCTGAGGTAAGGGGAGAGAGGGAGAGAAAGAGGGAGAGAGAGAGGGAGAGAGAGAGGGGTGAAGGGGCAGCCCTGGGGTGGGGGGCAGCCCCAGGGGTGGGGGGCAGCCCGTAATTGAGTCACCTCTCTGCTTGGGTCCACATTTTCCAGGGAGGGCTGGAAGTGGCTGTACCCCGTCTCTAGGCCAAATCTGTCTTCCTTTAGATCCTTGCCTGTAAACAGAGGCGTGGGGTGAGGGGAAAACTCAGGGATGGGGGAGTGGGAGGTTCTAGATCATTCTTCCACTGTTTAGTTCTTAGTGGTCCTCAGGGGTGGGGGAGGAGAAGGGGTGCCTGCCCTCCCACCTCAGGACCAGGTGCAAAAGTCACAGCCCAGGGCCTGGGGTGGGCCCTGGGTGTGAGGCACCAGCTGGGTTGGGACAGAAGGCATTTACCTGAGTCACAGGGGCCCCAGCCCTGCCCAGCCCTGTAGCAACAGTAACCAAAGCAGATAGGGTCCAGATTCTTCTATTACTTACTTCCTGAGTCCTGCAGACCCTGCCTCCCTCTTTTCCTGACCTTCAGGCCTGGGGCTCCTTCCTGTCCCCTTCCAGGGTCTCCTGTCCATCCCCCCACAATGCCTACCCCCAAGGAGCCACTGTGAGACCACAGGCCCCTCCCCCACTGCACCCCTCCAGGCACCCCCCCCCACACACATTCTTTTTCTGCTGGTACTAAAGGCCTGCCCCTCAGTACCTTCCCACACACCCGTGTTCTGGAAGCTGTTGGGGTGTCTCTCCCTCTGCCATACTCCATACACATCATAATCTTGCCTGTGAACAGAAATGTCTTGAGTGGATGGAGGTGGGTGGGGCAGGAGGGACCTCAGTGGGTCCTGACCACCCCTCTTCCTCCAGTTCTCCCCTGGGGGGCGGGGGAGGGGAAGAGCAGAGAATGAGGAGCAAAGTCCCCAGGGCTCCCCATCCCTGAAGGCCAGGCTTCTGAGCCAGTGCCCCCCATCTTCCCCTTTGTCGATTTCTGTTTCCTTGTGTGGAAAGCCAGGTGGGCTGCCGATCACTTCCCGATGTGGTTCACAGGTGCCTTTCATCTCTGCTCTAGCGGGAAATGGGCCCCACACGGCTTTCTCTCAGCTTCCTACTCTGAAGCCACAGGAGTGATAACAAAGCCAGCTAATCTCCTCCCGGACAATAATTAATTTCAGAGACTCTTTGGTTTCAATTCCTGGGCTACCGGGAGGTAGCCAATGGTTTCCTTATCAGAGGGCCTGTCACCCTTAGCCACACCCATAATTAGAGGGTATAGACCACTCTTCAATCGCTAGGCTGGAAGAGCCCCACCTCCATGGCAGACAAGCCCTTTCTCCTCATCCCCCTCCCCCCCCCCCCCCATCTCCAGGCCCACGGTGTTGGCTCGGGATCTCACCTGTGGAGTTTCCTTCGCGATCGGCCAAGGAAGAAGGCCAGGACCACCACCACCACCAGCAACACCACGACCACGGCGCCCACCACCCCGTACACCAGGGCCTTACTGGTGTTGTGCTCGCAGCTGTCGCCCCAGGACCAGTGCGTGTCCGTGTTGGGGCACCTGAGGACATAATGCAGGGTCAAGCTAGGTAGCCCTGACACCACTCTACCCCAGAGCACGGTGGGGGAAAGCAGGGACACCCGCCCTTGCAGGGAGGGAGGGGCTGGATCAAGGGGAGCGGGGAGAGGCACCGAGCGCAGGGCAGCGGTGGGGAAGGAACAGCGGTCCCCGGGATCTGGGGAGCGGGAAGGCCTCACCCCACTCTCTGAGGCTTCCTTATCTAATCTCCAGACAGCTGGCACCCAGAGCCTCCTGTTTATCCTGGTTTATATTTCATATTCAATTTATGATCTTGGAACTGAAGTGTCTAGGCCACAAACCAAAGCAATGACAGCCCGGTGGCTTGGGGAGAGAGAGAGAGATAATAGGGCAAAACTGATGACCTGGGCTTTCTCAGGAAAGGTTTGGCTAGGCTACCGAAGGGCTGCCGGTCACTCTTGCTGTGTGGGAAGCCATGGGAGGTACAGGGAGGAGGAGGAGGAGGAAGTGCCCTCTGAGCTCCGCCCCCTGGGGGGGGGGATGAGGGGGGAGGGCCGGGCCCTTCCATGGAACTTACAGGCAGCGGGGACCACTGCGCTGCAGCTGGCACTGGCCCTGGTTACAATTGAGCTGTGACTTGGTCCCTGTCGTACACTGAGTCACGCACGTCAGCCTTCCATCCAGCTCATCCACATAGAAGAAGTGGGCAAAGTCCCGGGCAGCTTTCTGGGTGCATTGTTCTGAAGAGAGGAGGTAAAGGACAGGCACCACATATCAGCCTGGCTGAAGTTCTCCTAGGAACTCCCAGTGCCACCCACCCCCCACCCTGGCCTGTTCCCAGCTCACCCTGTGGGTCAAAGCTCAGCTTTATATCTTTCTCCACTGTGGTGACATTTCCATTGTAACACAGTGTGGAATCTGCCAAGGACAGATGGGAGATTAAAAACAAGAAGCTGGGTGCTGGTGGCTCACACCTATAACCCTAGCTACTCAGGAGGCTGAGATCTGAGGATCGCAGTTCAAAGCCAGCCCGGGCAGGAAAGTCTGTGAGACTCTCAGCTCCAATAAACCACTAGAAAACTGGAAGTGGTGCTGTGGCTTAAGTGGTAGGGCACTAGCCTTGTGCTGAAGAGCTGAGGGACAGGGCTCAGCCCAGAGTTTAAGCCCCACGACTGACAAAAAAAAAAAACAAGAGCCTGGCACTAGTGGCTCATGCCTGTAATCTCAGCTACTTGGGAGGCTGAGATAAGAGGATTGTGATTCAAAGTCAGCCCAGACCTTTTTCGTTGTTGTTTGTTTGTTTGTTTTGGTCAGTCATGGTACTTAAACTCAAGGCTTGGGCACCATCCTTGAGTTCTTGTGTTCAAAGCTAGCACTCTACCGCTTTGTGCTACAGCATCACTTCCAGTTTTCTGCTGGTTAATTGGAGATAGAAGTCTCACGGGAACTTTTCTGCATGGACTGGCTTTAAACTATGATCCGCAGATCTCAGCCTCCCAGGTTAGCTAGGACCACAGGTGTGAGCCACCCATGCCAGGCCTACCCAGACTCTGATCTCCAATGAGCACCAAAAAACTGGAAGTGGAGCAATAGTTCAAGTGCTAAAAGTACCAGCCTGCCCAGTTCAAGTCCCAGGACTGGCACAAAAACAAAAAAACCCAGAAATGTTTCTCTCCCTCCCTTCTCCATACCACACCTTCCACAGCAAGTCAGTACCGATGGGGTCTTTACCCTGTGAGCGGGCTCCAATGGGCACATCAGAAGAATGGAGACACAGGGAAAGGGCCACATGCCCGCTGGTGACAAGAGCTTCCCAGGGACCTACCTCGGCACTTGGCTATGTCATCTGGAATCACGCTGGTCTTGTTCTTGAGTCTGGCCTGCACAACATCCCTGAGATGGCTGAACAGCTCACGGTACTGCGGGGTGTAGTTAGCTGCTAGGTGGACAGCATTTTCCACCACAATGCTGCCATTTCTGGAAGCAGGAGATGTTTTGCCATTTATCCAGGTCTCTCTCTCTCCTCTCTCTCCTTCACCCCGTCTCTGTCTTTCTCTGTCTCTCTGTCTCTCTGTCTCTCTCTCTCTCTCTCTCTCTCACACACACACACACACACACACACACACACACACACAGAGGAAGGGATCAGGAAGTAAGGGAGGAAGTGGAGGCAAAGCAGTCTTGTGACCCAGAGGTAGGAAAGAATAGTAGAGCAAGACATGGACATTCTAGAAACTTCTGTGGTGGCCATAATTGCCTAAGAATGAGATTCACCTCTTCAGAAGCCCTCAGTGAGGAGACACATGGATGGAAATGCGTGTGCACTGTGGGTAGGAATTAAAACAGTGTAGCTGCTGCAGAAAACAGTATGGTGGGTCCTCAAACACTTACACATAGCCCAGTATAGGGTCTCCTGCCTGTAATCCCAGTATGTAGGAGGCTGAGGCAAGGTGACCAAGAGTTTGAGGCCAACCTAGACTGCATAGCATAGAAGAAGGAAGAAGAGGAGGAGGAGGAAGAAGAGAAAGAGGAAGAGAAGGAGAATGAAGGAGGCAGAGGAAGAGAAAGGAAGAAGAGAAAGAAAAAGAAGGGGAAAAAGAGGAAGAGGAAGGGAAAGAAAAAGATGAAGGAATAAAGGGAAGAGGAGAATAAGGAAGGAAGAAAAGAAAGAAGAGAAAAAGGAGGAGGAGGAAGAAAAGTAGAGGAGGAGAAAGAAGATGGGAAAAAATGAAGAAGAAAGCAGAGAATAAGGAAAAAGAATGAAAAAGAAAGAAAAGGAAGAAGAGGAAGAGGAAAAGGAAAAAGGTGAGTGGAAGAGGAAGGAAGGAGAAAAAGAAGGAAGAGAAGTAAGGGAAGGAAGAGGACGGAAAGGAGGAGGAGGGGGAAGAAGAGAAGAAAAGGGAGGCCGGGTGTCGGTAGCTCATTCCTGTAACCCTAGCTACTCAGGAGGCTGAGATCTGAGGATCTTGGTTCAAAGCCAGCCCAGGCAGGAAAGTCCATGAGACTCTTATCTCCAATAAACCATCAGAAAACAGGAAGTGGCACTGTGGCTCAAATGGTAGAACACAAGCCTTGAGCTGAAGAGCTGAGGGACAGCGCCCAGGCCCAGAGTTCAAGCCCCACAACCGACAAAAGAAAAAGAAAAAAAACAAGGGAGAGGAGAAGGGAGGAAGAGGGAGAGGAAGGGAAGAAGGGGGAGGAGGAAGGAGAAGGAGGTGGAAGGAGAGAAAAGAGAAGGGGAGAGGAGGAGGAGGAGGAGGGAAACGTCTGTTAGAAGCTCCTCACTGTAGGGCCAGGGATCTGGTGAAGGATCCACCTTGAGACAAGATGGAGCCATTTCTGTCCCTTTAGAGGAGCCACAGGCCACCCTGTTCCTCTGATTCTCATCCCAGCCCTTGCCACCCTCCCTCAGTCCCCCACAGCCAGTCTCATGGTCTTCTGGGCTGGTCTTGCTTTTTTGAACCCTCCACACCAGGCCCCTTCCTTCTACGTAGCCACCTCTGGTCCTCCCCAAAACCCAGCTGTCTCCATGGCAACCCAGATGCAGCTCACCAACTTGGCACGAGCCATCTGATCAACCTTTGCTCCTCCTGGCACTGCTCTGCCTGCCTGCAGCTGGCACCTGGCCTCTTCCTCTCACCTCTAGGTTCTCCCGAGTCTCTCCCCCTCCTTTCCCTCACCTCATTCCCCCACCTCTTGCTACACTCCTATTAATTATCACTTGATAATGAATTCTCAGCACAAGCCTGCTTTGGGGACCTCTACCCATCAAACCCCATGCAACAGCCATGGTCTCTGCTAGGCTCTGCCTCTCTGAGCTGCAGGAAGACTGCACTATGGTAAACCCAGGGTCTAGCCCAGGGATGGCTTTTAATACAAGTTTGGTGAGTGAGTAAGTAATGGATGAATGTATGAATGAGTGAATAAGTGAAAGAATGAGTGACGGAATGAATAGGCGGATGGATGAATAAACATGATGCATAAACTCTGTGTGTGTGTGTGTGTGTGTGTGTGTGTGTGTGAGTGTGTGTGTGAGTGTGTGTGTGCCAGTCCTGGGATTTGAACTCAGGTCCCTGAGCTTTTGTGCTCGGGGCTGATGCTCTATCATTTGAGCCACAGATCCATTTCTGGCTTTTTTTTTGCTGGTTAATTAGAGATAAGAGTCTCACAGAGGGCTGGGAATGTGGCGTAGTGGTAGAGTGCTTGCCTATCAGGCATGAAGCCCTGAGTTCGATTCCCCAGTACCACAT